TTTACAACACGTTTTCGCAAATAAAAACCCTTCGCGATTGAGCCAGTCCGTCATTTCTCAAGCCAATAAAGATACCAGAATACAAAGGTGTTGACGTCAGTTTAATTCTTGTTTCCATACTTGCGGGTGGAATTTCTTGAAACATCGTCTGAACGTACACCTTCATCATAAAAGCTAACTACAGCTTCTTGGCTCTTATGGATTATGCTGTGCGTTGATCACCAATCAGTCAGTCAGTCAGTCAGGACAAACAGTTTTGTATATAGAGATATAAATATATATTGAATTATATAAAATATACATATAATTGCTATTGCTTCTTTTATCTATGAGCTATGTTATAGACGTTTAAGCTAACATGCCGAAAATTGTATTTAAAAAAATTTTTGTTTTTCGATTTTCTCGTACAAACACTTGCGTAATATAACAGCCAAATTAAAAAACGTGTCTATGTGGTATAAATTTCGGTTTTAATGTTCTCACTTTTTATATATAAATGAAGCTTATAATTAAAGTATTTGTATATATACTCTTTTTAGGTCTTACTCGTCCTGCCTTATATCCATTTGCTGCCACCCAATATCCTTATCCGATGCTAAGTCCTGATATGTCTCAAGTAGCCTCATGGTAAGTTGATTAATTAAAACTATTCAAATTTTATTACTGAATGCAAACTAAATTAAATTCCTTTCCCTTGAAATTTCTATGGATGTAGTGGGTGAGAGATGTCTTGTTTTTAAAACAGTATTTGTAACTCCTTACTTTCCGATATAAAAATTATAGCTTGGATTGCCGTTTTCACTAATAACTTCTGTATCTCTTAACCGATCTTGATGAAATTTTCCGTATATCTTATTGCGTATAGAATATTCGTATGTTTTTATACCCTGAACCCAATGTGTGTATCAGGCAGAATGAAGCAACTCCGACCCCACAAAGTATATATATTCTTGATCAGCACCTATAGCCGAGTCGATCTAGCCATGTACGTCTGTCTGTCTGTCTGTCAGTCTGTCCATATGTATGAACGCAAGGATCTCAGAACCTATAAGAGCTAGAGAAATTTTAGATGTAGGTGCTCCTAGTGCATGCGCAGATCGAGTTTGTTTCCGATAATCGATAAGTTACTCCGTTTCCAAGCAATCGATAAAAATCGATAACGACATCCTGTTTTTTGAGCATTTTTGGTAAATAATAGGAGCTAGAGTCGCCAAACTTTACATATAGCTTCTAGAATAGTATATATATTTGCATTTGGTGTTGGAAGAAGAGGGTTCAGGGTATCCCCTAGTCGGGAGCTCCCGACTAGAACCTCTTACTTGATTTTTATGTAACCTGAGGGAGACAATGACAAAATGCGTGTATACAATCTTGAAACCGTAGAGATTTTCTCAATAAACGGGAAGCGATATCGATTGATATCGATTTTTTTTTTGAAACGAGGCTCGTTATCAGCAGCTAAAAATAATTAAATTTCGAATTTACAACTGCCCATTATACCGAATTGGGCAAGGTCTACCAAATATGGTGAGGTATGTTGAGACCGAAATTATTTGGGGATGGGTCTCGCTCAAAGGTTTTTTATTTTGAAAGAAATAATTTTTAAAGATATAGGTCGATTTTTAGATAGCTGGCTGGATAGCTTGTTTAGGCTTATAAGTAGTAAAATATAAATAAATATATTCCCCGGTCTTGCAAGTATCTGGTAAGAAACTTGAGGCCGACAAATGAAGTCACGTTCATTAAACCTTTGACCCTTATTTTCCATTCAAGAATGGTGAATTTCGTATCAAACAAATTTTCCCAAAGATCTCAGAAAATTGGTTTAAAGGCGATATCTTAGTAAACAAAAAACTTTCATTCATCCGTTTTCCACCAATTTACCACTCTTGCGGGTGAAATTTCAAACATCGCTGAAGCACGTGTTCTTTAAGTTCTTATGAACAGTATTGAAATCAAGCAAATCGGAAGCCTGAATTCTGCGTATCCCTCCCCCAAGGAGGGATAGATTTTTCAAAAGTTTGAACTTGAGCCGAGATCATTTCAACTCAGTTTGAAACGGATCGTATGGTCAACAAAAAAGTTTCATACATACATTTTTCGCAATTTTGTAACACTTGTATAAATTTCCAAAAACCCAATCTTGGCATGCACATTCATCACATGAGGTAACTACGGAGAACATTTCAACTTTCTTTCGGTTTTGGGCCAATCTGTCAGTAAATAAGTCAGGAAAACAGTTATATATATAGAGATGATCAGCATTCAAGAAAACAAAGTAGATTCCGATTGGTTGAATTTTTTACATTGAAACACATTTTTTTTAACAAAGATTACGTTTAAAAGTGGTCCTTAAGGGGATAACCAATGAATTGTGACGTTTTCTCTTGACACAGAAACTACATTAAGTTGGTATATTGCATAACATTAATAATAGTGCAAATTTAAACAATTAAAATATTTTTGTTGTGAATGCCATTGGCTGGAGCTGCGTATGGGGGAAGAGCAGTTGGGGGGAATAATGCATGGTATTAACCTGAGTCCCATATTGAAAGGTCCACTGGATAAAAGTGCTTCAGACCTCAAACAGATTTATAGTTGTTTAGTTGAATGTCTCTTCTTCTGAACAACCACCTCTCAAATCTTGAGCTCCCTGTGCAGCTTTGGTAATATGTTTTTGTCTTGTTTTTGAATTTGATACTCATTGTTATATTTAACTTTAATTGTTTTTCAGGCACACGCCGTCGGTTTACTCAGCATCTAGTTTTAGAACACCCTATCCCTCCTCATTACCAATTAATACAACGCTACCGAGGTGATTATGAAATGCTTAAAAACACAATGCTTTACAACAATTTATACATTATTTATTTAAATTGCAGCGACTTTCCATTTCGATTCTCACCGAGTCTGTTGCCTTCCGTTCATGCGACATCTCACCACGTTTTAAATTCCCATCCATCGATTGTGGCGTCTAGTTCCAAACAGGATTGCGGCGTACAGGATTCCACAACGAACAATCGATATTCAAGGTAACATGCATAGAAAAATTATAGATAAGTTTCGCTCTTTTCTTGACGATTCCGACGTTTTTTGAAATTCAGAGAAAACTTGTCTTGTCTGTAAACAGGCATTTTTTGATTGGATAAGTTTTGATTTTCAATCTCCATTTGAAGGCATTGTCATATTTAAACGTTCTTGAACGTTCTTAATAGCTGATAATATATGTATGTAATATATAATATGTTTATGCAACTGACTTAGAAACTTTAGTTCGAAAAAAGAATTTTTATATACATATTTTGATGCTGAAGATATCTTAGCTAGAACAATAAGTCATTTTTTTAGCTTAGCAACATCGAGACTATTTGATCCCCCGACCTATTCCAGCTGGATTTCTTATTGACGATAAGTATACTAATATTATTTGTAGTATTTTGTGATCTCCTATCGAATGTTTTCACACTTGGTCATTAAGACTTCTATACCGCTAGACCAATGTTTTATTGGGTGGGCGCTTTCAAGGCGCCATATTTAATTTACCCACAACCCACTTGAACACACATACACACGTATACAACACACACACACACACACACACACACACACATATATATATATATATATATATATATATATATATATATATATATATATATATATAATACATATGAATATATATCTATTTACAAACAGAAATGTACACATTCCTATTGGCCCACTCAAAAGTACGCGTCTGCGCTTTAGAAACCATCCCCTAAGGGGCTTTGCCCTGCAACTAATATTGAAAGAGAAGTCGGAATGAAACGAAGCGATTGTAAAATTTTCCCACTATATTGCCTTTACCCTACTATATTTAAATTCTGCGTCTTATTCACATTTTCTAATTCAACGTCAAATTCGTAAGCCTATTCCCTATTTAAATCGGAAAACGAAAAACTTTTTGCAAATAATGTCGGAGTATGCATAGGATATGTAAATGGATGCCTGATTAGAACTAACAAAATCGTTCTAATCATGTCTGTCCTGTTGTGAACTAAACTAAAAAAAAAAAATAAATAGTTTTAATTTATGTATTAAAAGTCGCTACTCTTGTTATGAATATGTTCAAATATTTACTTACATATAAAAGTAATAAAATTAGTGGGAAATTTATTTATCCTAGTACTTTAAGCACAAAAAATTTTCTTAATAGAGGGCGCCACTGTCAACAGCTTCGCAACCGCTCATAGTAGCGAATACCAATTTTGTACTCTGAAGGAGCTTATCGATAATACTTCATTGCGATAGTTTGCTATATGGCTCCCAATTTGATACTTAAATCTGTTTACATATTCTTGCTGAAGCCGCTCAAAATGTGAAATATTTCAAGTTTCGTACTCTGCTTCCAATCCAAATGCGCAAAAAAAAAACGTACAATAATTAACTAATGCATAAAAAAAAGATGGCGACCAATTAAGGTAATATTTGATTTAGACGATGATCGCCAAAACCATAAGAACTAGAATGTATGCTCGATAAATATTGATTTTTGGCTAGATCCAGAGCATCATTTGAAGGACCTACTTTTTGATCAAGAAGAAGAAGGCCAACCGACGTCTAAATTTGACATCTTGTTGAATACAGGGTATCGACAAGAACATTCTTCATTATTGAAAGAATTTCATTGACGGCATACATACCCGGTTGTTGATTGTTTTTTAAAATGTAGTATTAATTAATGTTATTTATAATAGGGTCTATAGCCGAATTATTTTGAAGAAGAATCAACTGCTCAGCAAGCCGACGTATTGCGTTTTGCTAGTCCCAACGAACTAATAAGTTGCATTTGGAAATTTTCCCGAGAGAACATTTGATGCGTTTTCTCTCACGGCGCAATCGTTCTCTGCATTGGCCCTCGTCGGCCTCTCTCGGGGAGAGAGAGATGATGAAAAATGCGATAGAGTCGAATACCACTGTAAATTGTTAGCTTAAAAGCCCCCAAAGTCGGAAGTAATTCGTCAAATTGCTGGGCAGACAGTTTAGCAAAATTCAAAGAAATCTGAAAAAGCAAATACCTGATGTCCGAAACTCGTTTTATTCCGTTTAAATCTGTGAAATTTGTATTCGGTTAAGGAGTTTGCCCTTTCTCAACTCACATTTGGGACTACTACAACTACAATTCATACGAGCAACTGTGCATTTGATGCATATCCCATTAATAAAATGTCTCTATAAAATGGAGTGCGATAATGTGCCAAAATCTTGAATAATACAAAATTCAAAATTGAATTTTCAATTTGGATAGCTGTGTCAGTTTGCATATTGGTGAAAATAGTTTCAAAACGATGTTCGGCCATAATAAGAGAAAATGTATCTACATAAAATTACCATACTTATATACATCTAAATTGCGTTTAAAGCATCAGCCATAAATCAACTCAGCAATACAAACACACAACAAGGGGATACTTGCGAACCCACTCACTCGGCGACAAGAGAACTGTCTGTATTATAATACCATCAAAACAATTCAATTCAATTCAGTCAAATTGGAGCATTTGTGGATGTGCCTACCTACTATGAAAATAAAAACAAAAACAAGAGAGAAACCAGTTAAGCGTGTGATAATCGGTGGAATTTTGGACCAGGCTGAATATGAAATGCAATTAAAATACATAAATTGTTTAATTTTGATAGAGATACTCGCATGTGTACATACACATATCAAGTGTGCATATTCTCTTATTCAAATCCGCAACAGGCAGGCAACAGGGTTATAGTTGTTATGGTTAGTGCGCCTGTCTGTTGCCTCAATAACGAGAGCCAGAGTCTGAGAACGACGTTGCTTTGCCGTCAGTGGCAACCGACTGCGCCATACCCTGTTGACAATGTGAAAATGTGAAAACAGAGCTGACAACAGTCAAGAAGAGAATCTCTTTAAATATGGGGCTAGTGGTTCCTAAACAGATTTGCAGAATGAAGCCTGTCATTAATCCGACCACCATCCGACACAAACTAGGTTGCGAATACACGAGTACACTAAAACTGATAGACTCTTTTTACCTTGTGAACAGTATGTAGTAAAAGCTAATGTTTCTGTGCTGTGCCGTGAGAGAGCTTTATTTAACAAAAAAAAAAAAAAAAAAAAAAAAAAAAAAAAAAAAAAAAAAACTCCACACGAGAAGAATATAGATTTACTAACTACTCACTCAAGGAAATTACTTCAGTAAATCTCAATTGTGGCAGAGGGTGGTATAGGTCAAGAATAAAATATCATCATAGCAGGTCAAAGTGCAATCTATACAAATACTGAATACTGTTATTGTCCAAATTTGGCTCTCCCATAGATTTATTTTTATTTGTTGTGCAAGAACACGAAAAAAAAATAGAATATGGTATGCACATCGACAATACTCACAAGCAGATACCCTGTATTTGTGTGTCGAGCTGTGAACGGGTGAGCTGGAATATATTGTAACATTTTACTGAGCTACATACAGTATAGTTTTCACAAAATTTCCATTTTTAGGGCACCGAATGTTTAATGGTATTAGAATACGGCAAATCGCATACTAGTTTTACAAGTTTAGTTTTGTGAACTCAAAAACGTATAACACTTTGATATTGTGTAAAACATCCGTTGCGGATTCTCTTTTAATCGAAATAAGAACATTAAGTATATTTGAAATAGAGTGAAGTATCTAACAAAATTTAAATGTTTCGACCAGGGGTGGAGTTATTAAACTGTGAAGGGAATGTTAACGTATTTAAAATCATTTAACGGCATCGACAGCACCGCGAGAAAGGCTATGACCTCCGGATAATTCGAATACCTGCATTGCTATGGATACTAAAATTGCCAAGAATACCAAGAGCAACAGCAAAAGTAGCAGATTAGATGACACTCCAGAAGCGCTATCCCCTGGAAGAGAGTCAAATAGCTATAGACAAATGCACCTAAATGGAAATGAAAGCGCCGAAGAGAATAAGGAGCCAAAGGACTTTTCTATTCCCGTTGGCAATATAATGGAAACGATCTCGCAATCGTCATCATCATCATCATCGATAACAACAACAGCCCCGAATGCACAATTCTTTGATCATCTACAGACCACGAGTGAGGCAGTTACCAAGGCCAACTCGGATATGATGGAGCACATATTTAATACACCCACAAGCAATGCGGTGGTGCCGACTACAACATCCACATTAATGTCGGAAATTCTACTGCGGCAGCAGCACGACATGTTCCAGCACTGGCCAAAGCTGGAGGATCCTCAGCGCAAATGGAATCGGGAGCAATTGGATACAAGCTGTAATCGTGATGCCTTACTGGCTCGCATATACAGCAATAATGTGTTCTCCCAGCACAAGAGCACACAACGCCAGCAACAGCAGCAACAGCAGCAGCAGCAGCAGAGACAGTTTCTGGCAACACAAATGCTTTATGCACAGTTTCTACATCAGCCCCATTTGTCATTGGAGGTCGATCAGGAGCGAGATCGTAGGCTACACATATTGGAGTTTTCTGGTTTGCGAAAATCTTCCGTTAACAATGAGCCAAAAGCAACACCATCATTGTCAACATCATCACTATCAATCGGCTTATCACACGATAACAACAACAATAATCGAACACAAAGCGATATCGAACAGACTGTTCGATATGATCACGACCACATCCGGAGAGATGGATCAGATGCACACAACCTGAACTCGAACTCGAACTCGAACTCATCGACTAAAGACAGATGCAAGTTAAGCAAACGCACAATAGGTCAATGCGCTTCAAGCTCGAAAGGTTACTTTTTGCGCGAACAGAAGAACGTATTGTTTGATATAAAGAAGGGCCTAGAGCAATTGACATTACTTTGCAGTCAATTTCAGGATAGTCTAAGTGTGTCAGTTGGAAGGACAGACAGACCTGATGATGACAACACAAACACCTCGACCTCGACCCTTGAAGTTACCGTACAACGCGAATTGGAAAACAATCGAATGAAAATCGAAGGCATGCTGGTCCAAGTGAGAAGTCTTTATCGTCAGTGGAGCAGTGCTGAACTCTATTATCTACGGAGCTTGCAGAGACTAGGCCTTACTCCTGACAGCAAGACCGATTGTCCCACTCATGATGTTATGGCCCTTGCTGCGATTGCCTTGTCTGCCGAATGCGATTCAGGGTCAAGAAACAAAACTGATGCCGCCGAAGTTAGCCCAAAAAACTGCTATAGACAAGAGAACAATTGCTCAAGTAAACCAGAAGTACATTCATCACCAGAGAAACTGCGTACACTGCAAGATATCGAAAATATTATCCTGCAGCAAGCAGCAGCCGCTGCTGCTGGTCAACAGAAACAATCTGGCTCAGGTTACGTGAATGGCCAGAGCGAAAGTGCAGGGAGCAGTGATAGCGACGAAGAAGAAGAGTCATCATCACCCGCATGTATTTGGCATCCAAAGAACAACGTTCATCCAGCCGATGACGGTGAGACCTGCAGCACTGCCGCCGAAATTCTTTTGGAATATACTTCATTATCGTCGGTGCATGCGAAAATGAATGCATTGATGGGCAGTGGCAACAGCTTGCCTCTGCCTGGCCCTGGTTCAAGTACTAACAAAATCGCTGAGAACTGTTCAGTCTTGAATCTATCGCCAGGCACACAGAGAGCACCGCTTAATCGAGAGTCGGCCACTTCGGATCCCGTGTACTTGGCCGACATTCCGTTCCCTCCAACGCCAGCCACACCACCAACAAGTAGCAACAGCAGCTGTTCGACAGTTACGGGCACGCTTGGCAACACCAGTTATTCTTTGAGCACGAGTAAATATAACCACCGGCGAAAATCGAGATATGCGCGACGCATCGAAACTCCCACATCCTCATCATCGGCCAGCACCTGCCAGCCGGAGTACTCGGCCAAGGAACTCAACGGGGACGCATACAAGGTTGTCGCTATCGCCAGTATGCCAATGTGCCCATCCTCGGTATCATCGACAAACGTGTCAGCCTCCGCCTCCGCCTCAGTCGCAGCAGCCACCATTCAAGATTCACCCTCAGCCGTTGCGGCGGTTGCCGCACTCCAGGAACGTGCCATTACGGACATGTTCAAGGCCCAGTTTAGCGCTTTGACAGTGGCTGCAGGAATTACAACTGGATGTGGAAGCGAATCAGGAGTTGGAGCTGGATCTGACACTCCCTACGATTTAAGCATTGGAACCAGGCTAAAAAAAATGTAAATTTAACATTAATTTTGTTACACAAAATAAAAAGTGGAAGAGCTCTAGTCTGCGACTTTGGTCAAGATATTTATTTAAAAAAGTTGTTCATCATTTTCTATCATTTCTATAGCAGATATTTAATAATAATCTTTAAAAACATCCAGAAGAAGATAGCTATATCGACTCGGCTGTTGTTGCTAGTCGGAGGTATCTCCTTTGGTGGCAAAATTATGTTGTCCTATGCTAGAGTATTGAAAAGAGAAACAAGACATTCATCCCTAAGGTTGTAAAGACGTAATTCGCACTTAAACTGTTTGCAATATTGATTGATGCCTGTCCGACATTTGGCTTCAAAATTCAAGGATTAGAAGACATTAAAATATGTCAAAAAATTATTTTTATTATTTGTAATATGTGAAAACACACATGCCAACTTTGTTATCTGCTGCAAGATTATTTGAATTCTAGTTTTTATTTGTTATCTATAAATTGTACATTTTTTTTGTTTACGAATAATGGATAATGATATACTTCTGCATGTTGATTAATTTCAGAAACTTGGATACCAAAAGCTCATCGAATTCGCAAGCAAACGACTGTAAAGATAGTTCAAATGATAAAAAGAAGCCACATATCAAGAAACCTCTGAATGCATTTATGCTGTACATGAAAGAGATGAGAGCCAAAGTTGTAGCTGAATGCACCTTGAAAGAGTCAGCGGCGATTAATCAAATACTGGGGCGACGGGTAAGCTATATAGTCCATCGTAATACAGTCCTTTACCTTTAACTTGGCTGCCAAGTCATGTTTTCTGGTTAATCCGGTTAAGTTTTATGATGGGGTTTCATTTCATACACAAGCCTTGATTACCGGAACAGTTTTTAATGCTGCGAATGCTTCTTCAGCGCAAATAATCTTTTATTATAAAAGGACAGACTGACGGACACACGGACACACTTGTATATAAGTACTATTGGAATTCGCACAAAGAACTCACCTTGACATTATTCTCAATGCAAAAACACTCGTTTTATAAGTTAATGCTAACTGATTCCCAACATTAATGATACTTTTGTAGTGGCACGAACTTTCCCGCGAAGAACAAAGCAAATATTACGAAAAAGCGCGACAAGAGCGCCAATTGCATATGGAGTTGTATCCGGGGTGGAGCGCACGAGATAACTACGGTTACGTGTCAAAAAAGAAAAAGCGTAAAAAAGACAGATCGACAGCGGATTCGGGAGGTATTGCACAAAATTGTCAAATTTGTAACACTCTTATTCTTCTCTAACCGCATTCAAACTTTTTTGTTTTTTCGTTTTTGTTTTCGTTTTCGATTAAAAATTTCATTATAAACATGCATACCGTACAAACACAAACACAATTACAATAACAATAACATTAACAATATCAATAACACAAGCACACATTTAAAATCAGCTGCTACTAACACAAAAACTAGAACTAACAAATTAAATTAAACATGTACCTACTATTAATGTAATTTGTGTAAAAACTTAGAATAAATTTAACTCGTACCACGCATCAAAATAACTGAAAGAAAAAACCCGACATTATTTACAACAAATCCTAAAAAAATCACATTTTTGAAACTAGACAGAATCTTAGATGTTTTCGTAGTTAGCTTTAGATTTGTACTAAGCAGATACCAATTTAAAGTGTACTTTAAAAAGTGTACCTGAAATTGAAAGTAATTAAACTTAACATGTTAGTACGTATGGAGTACCTTAGCTTCTCTCTTCGGTAACCCGTAGCCTTGCTTGTAAACATTTCTGGCATTTTTATTTTCAGAATATCATTTATCTATTTTGACACTGTGAAAAAAGTGAAACTGTGGCTAGATTTCATCTATTTGGAGTGTTCGCTATCGTTTTTTCAAATCCAATTGACCTAACCCAACTGACTGTGACCCATTTTAGTAATTGCCCAATTTGTACTTACCTTTGTTTGCTTTTCTGGGATTAGTTTCGATTTGATTTAATTCATTTTTTCCCAGTAACAATTCAAATTCCCCTATTCGTGATCAAATTGAGAATTGAAAAATGAAAGCTTATTGTTTTAATAATAAAGAAAGAATACGAAAATGCTGATAAAATTCAATCGATTATTTAGTACCAATTTGAAAAGATATTGTAAAAACATAGAAAGCTTCAACAAATTGGAAGAACAGATTTAACAAAATGAGTTAAAAGTTTTGTTTCTTCATCGCAATAATTTGTACACAAATATTTGTTAATCAGAATAGTTTTGGAGCGTTACCCATGTTTCGATGTGCAGGACGTTCAATTAGGGCTAAAGCTTTCCATACCTATGTGGTTCAATTGGCAAAATAATACACTCACACGAACACAATATACTTATGTATTGAATTGGCAATCAAAGTGCAGAGAACTGGAAAATATGTAGAAACAAAAAAAACATTTCATTTTATTTAATGCTTTCATTTCCATAGATTCTTGAACACAAGAATCATATATAAACAAACCAAATATTCTATATGTGAGGACTTGAAATTGAAATTGGCGAATGCATGCACCCGAAACCGTCTACAAGATCGATCCGTCAAAGCTTTTGAACAATTTGCGCCCGCCGAATATACTAAGATTCTCGCCGACACCAACAAAACAGGCTGTTGTGGTGTCGGCTTTTGTCCACTGTGCTCTGATTGGCGGGTGCCTGATAGCTGATAATTAGCGTTTAAAAAACCACCTGACTGATTAATGTAATTGCATATTATCTCTCTTTATTTTTCATAATTTTGATTTGCGCATATCGCAACCAAATCTAACAAAACCAATACAAAAAACAAAAACAATTCGATTGATCGCCTCGAACCAAACAAAATACGAAAATTAATTACGAAAATCCGAAATTTGAAATATGTCTAAATTCGCACCGAATGCACACAACAATTATTACACACTGTTTTTTTCGCGACACCTCGCATATATCCCACTCCCAGTGGCATGCCTTGGGGCGTGAGGAGCAGGCCAAATATTACGAGTTGGCACGACGGGAACGCCAGCTGCACATGCAGATGTATCCCGATTGGAGCTCACGCACGAACGCGTCACGCGGCAAGAAACGGAAACGGAAGCAAGATGCGAGCAGCGACGGAGGAGGTTAGATACATTTTCTTAAACTTTTGTACGATACATATGTACTATGTCATACCAATACCAAATCAAAATCTAAGCCAAAATTAAACAGCCAGACATACGTTAAATGATTATCAAACGATTTAATCAGACAATTTCATCTTAATATAATACAATTGTTTGTTTAATAAACGAAAACACACATTTGTGTAAGTACAAAAAAAAAATAAAAAACATACTTGTTGTTGCGATTGGAACGAAGTTGAAAAATAATGAAAACATGGATCAAAATGATTGTTTAATAAACGCAAAATTGCCTCAACTTATTTATGACAATAAGTAGATTTAGGAAATCTGTAGAAAACTCACCCTACTAAATAATTTGCCCTGTAAATAATTTGCATCCTACTTGCTTAACTCCAAATTGTTTACAGGCAGTTTTTTCTCTCGGCATTGCCGAAACTATTTTGTAATAATTCATTTTACCAAATAGGACACATATCATTCATTAACCATTGTTGTTTGTATGTATCCATATATTTATGTATGTCTGATTGTCAATAAGTGATTACGATCAAAAATTACAATTACCTAGTCTTACAATCCCATTGCCTGCATGATATAATTTTCTATTGATATGAGTGTTATATGTGTATGTAGTATCAGCATACAGTATAATTATAAATACTCATCCAGTATAAGTACTTATACTGCATACTCTCATATACCTTGTATACGTATAAGTTGTAGGCACTTATACTACACACTCGCATATGTAGAAAATAATTTCAATGTGTGTATACAGTATGCAGTATAAGTTGCAGTAATTATAAGTATAATGGCTTAGACTACGTAAAAGTAAACTTGTTAAAAAAACTTATGTTATGCAAGATTGAACTGTATACTTATACTGCTTACTTATACGCACTATAAGTACTTGAATGGATTTATACTCACATATGTAGTATAAGTATATAAGTACACAGTTTACTTATAATACATATGTACTCGCATTCATCTAGTTATTAGTGCATGCGCAATTGAAACGCTTTGTAGATGAATGTTGTGTTATGATGTCCAAATTCAATTAAAGTAATCGACTATTATTTATGTGTTAGCCAATGTGAGTTATATTAGCCAGATGGTAAAACCTTGCCATTATTTGGCGAATGGTTTGCGGATCGGTTATTTCCATATTAACATTCACATTTCTGTATTAGCGTGACAACAAAATAACATTATGAGCAGATAGCATTCCAAACATCATTCAAAACGAAAATAATGGAACAAAATTTTCTTGATAATGGTCCGAATGACTCTAGACTTCATGAATAGGGCAACTTTTACACAGTGACTAGAAAATATACCTTTTTTTTTTTAAATTCGGTGGCTGTCATAAATCAATTTTTAAAGTAATTTTCTATATTTGCGTCAAAAACAGCGACAATAGCGAAAAAAACAGAAAAATTCATTTTCACTTAGTGAACAGATTAGAAAAACTGGAAAACAAGTATAATTTATATTTTGGTTAAGGCTCGCGTTTCCCGACTTCGTTCATTTTTCAAAGCTCGTTTTAACTTAAACGTCTAGATGTTTAGCTTAAATTATTTAAACAACGTTATATAGAATCATCCCATTCCGCAGCGGAAGTTACGTGGAATGTAATTAAATGGAACTGCCAAGTTGTAAATCTATATCTAGCCTAAGGCTTAACTATCCTATCCATTATTAATTTATTATTTACTCGTATCATGCTGTCATTGTAGTGTCTATATGTTCTTATTTAGTTGGAATTGAAATGAATGCTTAAACTACCTTTCTGCTGTTCAACTAACAACTCGATCATGTTCAATTATGGTGCCTTTATAATGCAGCAACTTCCAAAACCAATTTTAAATTCTTTTCCGTAGGTAACAACATGAAAAAGTGTCGAGCGCGATTTGGACTGGACCAGCAGAATCAATGGTGCAAGCCCTGCAGGTAGGTTAAAAATTGAATGTATCTTTTAAGTTGACAGCTTGTTTAAGATATTACATACTGCGTTTATGATAAGAAATCCATCAGTTATTCACATTGCAAATTTCAAATTGTCACAACGTGTCCAAACTTACAAAATGAGTTCCCAGACTTGTATAAAAAAAAAACAAGAAACCAAAAATAATCTAGGCTGCGCCTCACCAATTCTTTAATTGGAGTTTAAGCACGCCTCTCTCTGAGTTCGTTTCACTAAATGGCTCCAAAAAAGTACGTAAACATAAGCGCAGTAGCATGACTGTACATAAGTGGCTAAAATATGGAAGACATGCATACGTACACGCATATTAGAGTTGTAATAAGCTTTAAATTATGGAAAAGGTGAAGTCCAAATTTGATGACCAGCGTTCAAATCGAATATCTGATTGATGTCCATTTTTTTTTTTAATATATTTTATTTTATCACTATTTAAAAGTAAATCGGTATGTGAAATACAGAATCAAAGTATACACATACTGTCGTGTGTAAGCAGATCATTAGTCTAGTTCCAACAGTCGTTCGTTCAACAATTGGATCCACTCCATTGTCCTCATTGCAATAATTCTCTTGTCCCAATTCGATTGCTCAAATGGTTAACATACAAAAAACTTATCTTTTAATATTATAATTTGTACTTAATATATAAGCCTAGGACTTACAACTATATTACATATAGAAAATTGCATTCAGCAATATAATCTAACAGCTGACGTTCAAGGAAATAGTCGCAGTGGCAATGCAATACAACTCTAATATAAATGTACATATGTTTGTGTATGTACAGTAGGCGAAGGAATAACAAATATTGTCTCATCAATTTAATTATGTACACATGAATCTTCATAAGTACTATCTATCACGCATTATTCTACACTCACCTGACACCTAAACACACATACTATTCGATACCTGACTCTAGATAATAATTAACAGTATGTAACAGTATGACAACTATTAAGTAACAAAGGGCATTGTGGCCACAATCTACATATATGGCCGATACTATTTAATGTATTTGCATGCAACTTAATGCTGTTTCCTACCTACAATGCCCCCTTCTTGCCTGCACCCTGCACAGGACCAACAAATTTATTATTTACAAATTTTAATGTTGATCTATTGAAAGTGGATATCCCTCAGCGATAACAAATCTAGTTGAATAATTTGAAAACAAACTCTGTTCTTCATCCGAAGCTCTAGTCACTTTTCAATCCTTACCTAAATTTCAATGCCTTTTGAATAAGCTTTTGTCGATTGGATCAACAAATTAATACTGTACTGAAACCTTATTAGTTGTATTTTCCCATTGAATATAAGTATATGCAGAAACTTGAAGATATTTTTAAAAAGTGTATTCAACCTTAACTTGTCATTTTTGCAATAATATTTATTAATCAATACTAATAAATACTTTTAACGCGGCATATGTTGCTTGCAATAAATATTGAATCTTTTCGAGCGCTAGTTCATATCAGCAATTAAAAAAATTGACTTGGTTGCTTGAGGAAACAGAACTTGCTTAGGAAAAATCAAAACTAGGGATTACCTTTCCTTCGTAAATCAGATGTTCACGCTTAACACCTTTTCACCTATTTAATGGGTAAAGGAATATACAAGTAATATTCAAAAATATATTTAAAAGGGCTTTGTGCACTTGGGTGCATTTTGTTCTTACTGCATAGCTAAAGATTACATACATCTGTATGTATTGAGTATATGTGCACACAAGTCGATCAATGCGTTTTTCGCATTTAAAAACATTTTTAAGTCCATCGAATAACAAACGAGTGGGAGCTTCTAAAATTGCTGGAACACATAATCCTTTAATTTTTACGTAAAGCTTGGAAAATAAGTTTTAAGCCGATCGAATAGAACTTGAAACTACGAAAATTCACCGTTGTACCGCGTTTATCAAGAAATGTAGATTTGGCGAAAGTGTGATTAGATGAAATTCCACAAAGAAGCGATCAAATAACCGTTTTCCAATAATTTACCACAGATGCGGGTGGAATTTCCAATATCGCTGAAAGACGCATTCAATAAGTTCTTAATGGAGAAAACGTAAAACCTCTCAAAAAATCTTTTTATCGCATTTTCCCCCAAGGAAGTTTGATTCTGCAAAAAGTGTTTAGCACGTCTCAAATAATTTTTTTTTTATAGAACCTTGGAAATTAACAAAATCATAGTCGTAATTAAATGCTCCTTTCAAGAAAAATCGTGACAAACTGTTGTATGAAACTTTTTTGTTACAACTATTGTTCTTTATTCTATATCCTCTACAATTTTGTATCTATGCCTGGGGTTCAATATAGTACGTGTAGTTTTAAATTTTCAGAGTGCTTAATCTGGGAAAAAAGATATATCTAAAATTATAAGCGTAAAATGTGCACGGACAAGATCTGGTAATACCCGGTAGTCTCCACATATAAAACTGTTTCTCCTGACTGACTGATTGGGAATCAAGCTGAAATGTGAACTGCAGTTACCGTATGTGATGGAGGGGCACGCTAAGGCGGGATTTTGCATTTGTATGGGAAAAAGGGAAAATCCTGAAAAAGGGAAAAGCATGAAAATCTTCCCTTTACCATCTGATCGACGTCAAACTCATTTAAAAATCGTTTTTCCTCGGATGAAAAATACGGGTCAAACGTTGAATAAACGAGATTTTATTTGGTTGACAAATTTGAAGCAAAAAACTTCGATCCAGTAATTCTGGGAAATATCAGCTACTTTACTTGGGAGAGTCCGACTTGGGGATACTCTGAACCTTCTTTCACTAACAGTAAATTTGGGTTTTGAAAATGAGTAAAAAGGATATTCTGCTTTTGTGCAAATGTATGTTACAGGCAGAAGAAAGCATTCCGTCCCCATAAAGTACATATATTCATGATCTGCATAAATAACCGAGTCGATCTAGCCATGTCCGTCTGTCCGCAAGGATCTCAGAATCTATAAAAGCTAGAGACTTGCAATTGAATTGAACATGGGTCCTCCTTGTACCCGCGCAGTACGAGTTTGCTTCCGATAATCGATAAATTGTCTCATTTCCAAGCAATCGACAAAAATGTATATCGAAATCCTGTTCTCTTAGGTATCGCCGAATTCCACACTAAGAGGACCTTTGTTTAAAATTTCTAGCCTCTAGCTCTTATAATCGACTCTATTTTTGATGCTGACTAAGAATATGTTATATACATTTGAACAAAATAATTATGCTCTTTTTACCCATTTTAAATAAGTTCAGGGCTTATACCCACATTTAAACCTTTATTCCAAAGAACAACAACTCTTCAAGAATGAAAGTTTGAGAGGGTATGTTTTTGTGTATGTTTTTCAGATATACAAGGATAATGAAAATGGAAGGTGCTGGGTAAATGGTATCTGCTCGACTTGAATTCTTTGTGTTTAGATCACTTCAACTTTTAAGTACAATATACGCTCGTGGTTTTTATACCCTTGAAGAGGGCGATTTAATTAGAAGACATTCCCGACTCTATAAGATATATACTGCGGTCCGATTCGATAGATATATGGAAACTAAGAGACTAGCTTGCATAGAATCAGAGAGGTGTTAAGAGGTGGAAACTAAGAGACTAGCTTGCATAGAATCAGAGAGGTGTTTCTATGCAAGCTAGTCTCTTAGTTTCCATATATCTATCGAAGCGGACCGCTGTATATAGCTGCTGTAGAAACGATTGGTCGAAAATTAGGTTCTTGTATGAAAACTTTTCTTGACCCGATCCGAGTTCTTATCAAAATGGCACTACTATAACATACAGCTCAATAGGAAGAATCGATCAAAAATTTATTATCTTTTCATATATTTTCCAAATCGCAAGCCAAATATCTAAAAGATTATTTATATAAAAAGACCCTCTTATAGAGACCTTCTTTTGTCTGATTACAAAAACATGCCGATCCGTAAAGATTTTGACTATGTAAAAATCTTGGCCACCTCTAGCGTCCCGCCCACCCCGCACTTTTTGTCGCGATCCCCTCCAGATCCCATCTTTACTTTGAAGAGTAGAAACACTTAGGAAAATTTATATTTTTATACCCTGCACTAAAAATGGGTATAAGGGTATATTGTATTAGTGCAAAATCCAAATGTATATAACAGGCAGAAGGAAGCATCTCCGACCCCATAAAGTATATATATTCTTGATCAGCACCAATAGCCGAGTCGATCTAGCCATGTCCGTCTGTCTGTCTGTCCGTCTGTCCGTCCGTCCGTCTGTCCGTATTTATGAACGCAAGGATCTCAGAACCTTTAAGAGTTAGAGACTTGATTTTAGATGTAGGTGCTCCTAGTGCCTGCGCAGATCGAGTTTGTTTCCGATCATCGATAATTTACTCCGTTTCCAAGCAATCGATAAAATCTATATCGATACTCTGTTTTTTGGGCAATTTTGGTAATTAATAGGAGCTAGAGTCACCAAACTTGACATATAGCTTCTAAAATAGAATATATATATGCATTTGATGTTGGAAGAAGAGGGTCAGGGTATCCCCTAGTCGGGAGCTCCCGACTAGAACCTCTTTCTTGTTTTTTTATTATTTCCTAGTATATGACAACAATGAGCAGTAACATATAAACCAAAACCTGAAAGCAGTTCAATTGTAGGCTTTAAATATACATCGTTTTTTTTTTAAACCTGAGGTTTTTCCATCTTAGCTAAACTTAACTTGGAAGAAAAACTGGTGCAGAATCCATGAACTTTAAAGATAAACTTCCAATCGGACCAATCGTGCTCGCTTTAAATTATTTATGTGTGCATATTCTAAAAATGGTGTTTTTAAAAATTGTACAATTGTATGTCGCAATAAACGTTTAACATTATGTTAATGACAAATTCATTAAACGGCAATCGATATTTTCCCATTTACTACCCTTGTTGGCGGTAATCTAATTTTATCATGAAGTGTGAGACGCATAGGTGGAGACATCTCCGTCACCATAAAGTATATATACGCTAGATCAGATCAACAGCCGAGTTGATATAGCCATGTCCGTTCGTCTGGATCTATGCGAATTAGTCTCTCATTCCATCTTACTGTTGCGTGAAGTACTTGGCTCGGAAGCGGCCGAAAAGTTGCACCTGGTGTGCTCCTTTCGTATATAACCAAAAACTTATCAACATCTGACTACTATATCATATAGCTGACATATGAACCATCGGTCAAAAATAGGATCTTATATGGTAAATTGTTTTTTCAAGATATTTTAATCAAATCTCAGCACTTACGAGCTTCTACAAAGGTTTTAAATCCTTACTTTCTCGATTATTTTTATACCCTGAACCCATTAAAAATGGGTATAAGGGTATATTGTATTTGTGCAAAATCCAAATATATGTAACAGGCAGAAGGAAGCATCTCCGACCCCATAAAGTATATATATTCTTGATCAGCATCAATAGCCGAGTCGATCTAGTCATGTCCGTCTGTCCGTCCGTCCGTATGTATGAACGCAAGGATCTCAGAACCTATAAGAGCTAGAGACTTGAAATTTTAGATGTAGGTGCTCCTAGTTCCCGCGCAGATCGAGTTTGTTTCCGATAATCGATAACTTACTCCGTTTCCAAGCAATCGATAAAAATCGATATCGATATCCTGTTGTTTGGGCAATTTTGGTAAATAATAGGAGCTAGAGTCACCAAACTTGACATATAGCTTCTAAAATAGAATATATATATGCATTTGATGTTGGAAGAAGAGGGTTCAGGGTATCCCCTAGTCGGGAGCTCCCGACTAGAACCTCTTACTTGTTTTCACTACTTTTTTATTTTACATTGAATGTTTTAGTTTTTAAGTGTCTTATCTTGAATTCTTGCGAGTTATTTTTTTTTTTATAAAAAGTGAGCCGAATATCGTCATAGGATTAAAAACAATATATAATAGAGATTTGCGTGTTAGGTGATCGTTCAGTTCTGGTTTTGGCATTAGGACTATATGATCCTTAATAAACAAATTCAAAATACACACACATACAAACAAGCACACATACAAACAATATGCCTTTTTTATTGAGTAAACGAAATGTTGACGAATACAATTACCGTTCTTTTCTTATTGCTTAACCAAATAACATTTTGGACTTTCTTAATTCAGTCCCAGTGTGGGTTTGGGCGTCATTTCTTCGGCGAGCAACAGTACCGGAATTGTCAGTGGCCCAGGTGTCAATAGCATAAGTGTCGGCATGCTGACGCCTGGCATGGTGGGGGCTACTGTCATGCTGCCAAACTCGTCATCAAGTTCCTCATCGTCATCTACATCGTCTTCGCACACGCACACACACTTGCAAATGATTCCCAGCAATACAGGAAACGGATCGGCAGCACCTCTCAATGGTGGCGCCTGTACACAACCTGGGGGTGGCGGCAGCGGTGGTGGAGGGGGTGGTGTTGGAGGCGGAGGCGGTGGCGGTGCGACTGCCGGTGCCGCGAGCACACAGCAACTGTCACCGCAAGCACCCCCGACCTATGTAAATTTGTAAAAACGATGGCAGCCCGCGGCGAAAATAAGCAGGCAACCTCCCGGACAACAACCTGCATCCGCATCCGCATCCTAAACTCCATTGCAGCCCAAACAAGAGGCAGGCGTACGACTCAGCATAAATGCCAGTAAATAACGTATATTTACATATACATAATTGTACATATTTCAGTGAATTCTTATTTTCATTACGATTAACCAAGCAACATTCAAATTATTATACTCTTTGCAAAAAGCTAGCATTAAGCCGCATTAGCATTAATTTGTAATAACAAACGACAATATTATAATTACATTTTTTTTAAAGTAACCAAAAAAAAAACACACTTAGAGCCGAGAAACGGCTTTCTAAATACGTGCAAAAATCTTCAAGATATAAAAATACTAACAAATGTAAATTGACTTTCCAAGCGGATTTTCATTTCAATTTTAAATTTTGATAGTAACACGTGAAATGATTCGAGATCAGAATCAGATCAAATGGTCCTTTGTATCACAAACATATATCATTAAGCTTATTACACACTGATAATAAATATGTGAGTGAGCAATTGTCTGTCCAAGCGAATCGGGTTGAATCACGTTGAATCATATGGTTCAGTCAGATAGTTTTTTAAATTTATAAATAACTTTTATATATTCTTCCTTTCGCCAAAGATTATTAGTATATAAATGAATTATAACAATTTCATTTTTTAAATATGAAATTTGCCTTAAATAAGCATTAAATGGATATTCTTGTATTATTTATTTTATTTTTTCTTATTGTATTTCGTTTCCATTTCCTTTCCAATGGACGTTGAGTAAAGAGTTGATGATCTAGTTAATTATATAATAATAATATTGTGCACAACAAATTGTAAAAGAAAAATGCGACTTGTTAAGTTATAATAGCTGTGCTAATGCGGCATGCAATGGTGCTAAGGGCTAGGAAATTATATCAAATATAAAAATATTTCATATGTATATAAATCAAACTTAGCTAATTCTATGTATTCTATGCTTACCTGTGTAAGCGCTTAATAATAAAATTAAATGTAAATGTATTGATTTTGATCATATACGAATATAATTTTGGGCACTTGTGTCCTTTGATAAAATTTATATTGATTGTAGGGAATATTTTTTGATGTGCGTATATGTATCAGTATACATATACATGCGCTTATATGTACATATATGTATATGTATATGTATATGTATATGTATATATATGTATATAATTTAAATGTGTTGTACTTAAACCGAGCTCAATTTTACATTTTTGCTAGAGCTGTTTGTTATTGTTGTCGTTGCTGTTGTTGTTGTTGTTGTTGTTATTGCAGTTGGTTGCCTTTTAATTTGACTTTGTGAACATGGTCTGTTTTACGACGAAACTGGCTTTTCTTTTAAATGTTGTATTATTGTTATGTTTATTGAACCACAGCCGTTTATGCCTTTTAACCATTATTTAATATATCTCATAATTTATTACGTATTATTGACTCCGATGAACACGTTCAAGTGTATTGATTGCTAATTCTACCATTTCAGTTACCCATTTATACATATTATTTGTTTTTTGTTTGTACATTTCGAAATGTCTGCAGATAAATTATTATTATGCATGCCTACTGGAACGTGCATTATCGGAAGTGCTGATGCTCTAATTTATATGCTTATATGATACGTCTTGAAATATACTTTATTTACTTATTTTTAGGGTCATTCGAATGTGCCTCCGATTATCAGTATAACTTTACCATTGCCCATATCGATTTTGTAAATTACATGCGTAATCAAAATTGTAGCGCAGATTGATTTCGGATTTCAATTAATTTTTTCAAATTGCGAAAGTCAATCACCTGGCAATTAGTATTTATAGAGACCCAAATAATAAATAAAGTGACCCCTAAAATTATTTGAATTTATTAATTTCCATACTATATACATTTTTTAATATGCTGTATATATATTGTGTACTTTATATTATATACATATATAATAATGTATATCATTATATATTATATTATATATGTATTATATACCATATACCTTATAAGCATATATATGTGATATGAATCAATTTTTTATTTTTATATACTGTTTCAGTATTTATGTTAAAATAATTTAAAGTTTCTGATTTTGTTATGATTCCTGCATGCAGCAATACTCCATTATTAATGTATCATCAATTTGAAGAGTTAAATATAAAAGGTCAGTTACAGCTGAAACATGACCATTTTATATTTAAAAGGTTATGTTGTATAGCTTGGGGTGTTATGAACAGTTCTGGAACGTTCTGGCTTGACCCTTCCAATTCCAGTTAACATAAAATCAAGAACAATTTGTTGTTAAATCAAATAATAAGTACAGAATTAATTGGTATATTTTAATTATTTATCAATAAACAAATAAATAAACTAACAAAAGCTTATAATTATGATTGTATAGGTTTTTTATAACCGAATCAAAAAATAGTTAAATTTGTTAAATATAATAACGATACATGATAAATTTGGAATTTGAATGCCAATCGCCAGGTTGAAAATAATATAGAGATAATGGCGTCGCTTTGACGTTTAAATCTGCTCTCAATCCTGCTTAGTCAACAGTGGCCCGCTCTCTTGATTTGAAATTGTATGCACTTGATTCGTTTAATACGTAATATCTTCTGTTCAAATATGTTTTTGCACGATCATTAGCTTATTCAAAGATACTTAACGCCCGGCCGTACCGTGTGCATGCACTTATTAAGTGAATGGTATTTTCTGCATATGTTGTGGAATGCCTTCATATTAGCCAATACCACATTTACCAATGCTTCAATTCTCATTTGTATGTAACTAATAATGCATATTATTTACGTTTCTTTTAATCCCGCAGACGCAAAAAGAAATGCATTCGCTACATGGAGGCATTGCATGGAAACGGCGCGCTGGCGAACGGTAGCGGCATGGATGATGCCGGCAATATGAGCCAGTTGAGTGATGATGACGACGATGACGAGGAACTGGGTGGTGCCAGCTGTGGCAGCGGGGATGAGACCGAGACAAATAAAATGGCCGACAACGACGACACAGAGTCAATGAGTCAGTCGCTGTCGAGCCCCGGCTGTCTGAGCGGACTGTCCAGTGTACAAAGTCCCTCGACAACAACGAGCCTGGCCAGTCCACTCAATATGAACATGCTAACTAGTCCAGCAACGCCCGCTATGCCCCCTGCAACCAGCAATATAGGCCCTCTCCCTGTTAATAACAGCACTGAGCAGGCAACGTCGAGCAGTCAATCACGATCAGCGCCTGGGTCTGCGACTGGGTCCAGCAGCGGATCAACATGTAGCATTAGTAACACACCGAATACCTCTAGCACAGCGTCGCCAGTGACGTCTGCGACCGGAACAGCGCCGACCTCTGCCAGTGAGCGCGCCATGATGCTTGGCTCCCGCTTTAGCCATTTGGGCATGGGCCTTTCTCTACCCGTGTGTGGCAGTAATCCAGAGCAACTATTCCAATCGCACACCCACCTGGCTGCTGTAAGCATCGCTGGCAGCAGCGGCAGCGGTAGCGGTAGCAGCAGCAGCAGCACTCCAACATCTTTGGCAACAAATGGCTTCAACAGTTATACGGGCTCTGTAACAGCGGGTGGTAGCATTAATACAATAGTACCAAATGCTGCAGCATCTGCATCGGCGCCGGCGCTGGCTTCTGGACCAGCAACAAGTTTACATCGCAATCCGATTGGCGCCAACCCACGCGACATCAACAATCCGTTGAGTATCAATCAGTTGACCAAGCGGCGAGAGGATAATAAAATTGTGATACTCGGCGGCTGTGACTCGCAATCAGCTTCAGCTATTTTACGCCATAATGCGGCCCATAATCCATATACGCACACGCACACGCACACTCACCCGCATCCGCATCCGCATCATGCGCTCTTCAGCAGCAGCTTTAGTCAACACTTCCAGCAACAGTTGAACAACCATTTGGCAGCCACAAGCAGCAGCGGCAGCAGCATCGGGTCAGTCGTGCAACCGATTGACACGCCCGCCATTAATAGTATGAAACGCCGCAATACATCCGATCCGCCAGCAGCGACCGGAAATACCGCAACTCCCAACGCAACCGAAACTGGAGCCATAAGTGTTTCGTAGCAGTCTGGCAATCCGGTATATGCGAATAAAGTAACAATCAGTAGAGCCTGGTCCCGCCCTGATGTCCATGCTTTAGTCATTAAGATATGGAGCAGCCAACCAGCTGATAAAGCTAAAGCTAAAGTTGGTACAACGTGCAATAAGAACCATCTCTATCGCCATTTAGCCCTCATTACCATCGCCATAGTTTTAACAAGAAACATGTGGCCATTATTGGATTAGTGCCAAAAGTACTCACTTTATATATACATACATATATAACATACTTATCAACAAACAATTATCTGACAGCATTGGAATTTAACGTATACAGTTCATAGTTCGAGTGTGCCACGAGATCTGGTGATTGGTGAAATGTCATGTTAAGACAACCCCACACAGTTTAGTTGAACTATCGTAGCTATCAAAATATACATACATATTGAGTGTAAATGTGCATGCATACATAATACACACATACATACAAGCATAAATATATTTCGGATAATCTATTAGAAAGTAGAGACCAATTGCAAGCTAAACTTGTAGGTTTTAGCGCAAGTAAGAGTACTGTGGCTGATTCCCCGACTTGGGGAGCTATCCAGCATCTCTATAGAAAAAAGTGTTTTCCCTGACCGTAAGAGCTAAAGAGCTAGAGAGCATTTAACTAACATAATGGAAATGTACGTTCTGGTGAATTCCACCCACAAGTTTGAAAAACCCGTGGAACCATGAAACTTTTTCATTTGCCCTTCGAACGGACAATAAACCCATTTTTAAAGATCTTTGTTCAAATTCATTTGAGAGGTGTTTCCCACACCTTTTGAAAAATCCATCTCTCCTTGTTGGAATCGGGAGTCAAAGGTATAGCCATTTTAACGCAGCTTAATGTTATGCAAATCTTACCTTTATTTAAATGATTCAAAAGGCAGAAGTATAAAATACGTAGTTTTTGGCAAATCGGCATATAAGGACTTACATTTCCATACGATTTTACCAATAAAAAAAATAAGCTAAAAAATAATACTTTTGTGTAGTTACTCATTTCCTAATTTTTAAAACAACTGACATTTTGATTTCTATGAATAACTACGTAGTCAATCCTTATGCATCCTTGATATTCACAATGCTAGATAACAAATATTAAATATAAAATAGAGAAAAGATAATGATACGAACATAGGGTTGATCTTTCTAAATGAGGGGTATCAAAGTTTGTTTTCAATAAAATTTCGTATAAAGCACAGTATTATTTAATGATAGTTAAAGAATATAATCTATTCATGTATGTATGTATGTATATCTGACAGTGTGTATGTGTGTACAAAGAAGCAACTTAAGACAAAACGTACGAATTTATTAAAAATTGGACCTGATAGCTATACTGTATGTATGTATATGTATATATATGCATAGTGTATAGTAATCTTCTTACGTACATATATGACTATATACTGCATACTATGTCTACTATATTTATAAAATTTAATGGGCAGAAATATTATTCTTCGATTCTTTTACAAAACAAGTTCTCGTTTGGTAATTTAAAAATATAAAAACAGCATTTAATATGATTATTAAAATAGCCAAGAATAAATGAAGATGTGAGTAACTGACACTTGCTAACAACAACAAAAATGTACCTCGAAAAAAGTGTTGTTAACCAACTTGTTCCCGCCAAGAAAGTCAAAAGTATTCAACACAGATTATCCCAGAAAGCATAACTACGATCAGATTTTAATTGTTTGGCCCACATGTGGTAAAAGTTAAGATATGCGAGAACACTTAAGTTGATCGGGGTACACGTGAAGGTTAAGAAACTTGTAAGCTAGTGTTATTAGCCCATTTCAATAGAATTTACAAATGGTTGAAAAATATTTTTTATTTGATTTATAGGGTAATCATCATTAATCGGCATTATGCAGCCGAGATTTCATATTTGTCTTATATATGTAATACGCCTGTATGTATGTTCGTGCTCAGATAGAGATATTTGGGTGGTTAAGAATCGGTATGATAACAATATCCAGATATTAAATTAATAGTTATCAATATCAGGTTAACTTGAATATTGCTTTATATAAATGATATGTGCGAAATATGAGCATAAACCTTCATACACAGTTAAATCAGTATGTAAATATACATATTCAACATGTATGTGTACATACAGTGTTGATTTAAATATATAGTATGGAGGACGTCAAGCCAAACATTTAGTACAGAAGTATAAATACTAATGTGAATTAAATTAATGCGATATTAAGCAAATGTGTATGTAAATATATATATATGTATATGTAAGCATAACAATGTGTGTTAAGCCATTGCCAATTATAAAAAGACTGTTAATACATATTTAAATTAATTACATATGTACATAGAATACATACGTGCGCATGCATACATATATATGCACTTATGTGTGCAAAAATGCATATGTATGTGCATATGTAAGCACACGTGTTTTAAGTCAATACGAGTATATATGTACATACTTGGCACGAATTACTTACATACATGCAACACTATGTACATAGGCAGACACACAAAAGGAACCTAACATATTTATGTAAATATGTGTAAATGTAATTATTAACTGGCAAACATTATGATGTACACACAGGTCACAGGTAATAAAAAGTATACGCAGTCGAAAGGATCGCAATCACGCAGACCTTGAAAAACATTGAAAAATGGTTTAAGGTATAGTTCTATGTACACACATATCTATAAATGTATGTATTTATATATATATATATTTGCAAAGTGAACGCTAGCTTTAGTAATTATTCTAATCAAAAGCAAAACATAAACAAAAATCAATATTATATTTAACTACGTTAACTATGCTTCCAGTTTTCTGTGTTTTTATTTAAATGTTTACCTAGTAAATAGTGCATATGAAACCGTTTTGCAATATTTACAGTTTAATTTATTGACTTTTACTTCTTAACGTTAACATTAATTTGCACTCCAACACGTGCGTGCATTTCTTATTTGGCGTTTCCGCATTATTAAGTTATTATTTAAATGCTAATTTACATTCAACACAATTTTTAAATAATATAATATTATTATAAGCCCACGCTCAATCCACAAATGCCTTTACATTTCAATGTGCAACGATGTACATACATACAACTCACTAACCTGTATGTGCATAGGCGTATATACTGTGTATCTCTGGAGAACAGACACTTTGAACAAATATGTTGTGAGTACTAGCAAATCAAAGCCTGCTAACCGTGAATGTATGTTGGAATGGCCCCCACATGTATACTCACATACCTTTGTATATTCTCTTCTCTGTACAACAGTTTCTTCGTTTACCTATAAGTGCAAAATTTTCAAAAGTTGCATGTATTACAATATACATATACATATTCGTATGTAACTTCACACATCAGAAATTGATGGTATTCTGTGCAATTTTGATTTGAAGCCAATGTGCTTCCTTAAACTTGGATTACCTACTGTACGCATTTTATTTGTCGACAAATACCATATTCTTTTGCTATTAGCTCTCGAGCCACCCAGTACTCAAATACAGATTAACGAATGACATTCAATATGTATATCAATAAATTCTCTAAAAGACAACATTCATTATATCAGGACAATGTGTATCTCTGTTGAAATTATTAAAAATGAAAACAGATAAAGAAGTAGAATTACACATTTATGTATGAATAAAACTCAGCGTTATTAGCAGCATTATATACAAAAAAGAACAAATTCATTTAAATTTACATTTATGCATTGCTGGATGAGACACTTGTTAGTAGGCTGCTTTGATTTGTTTGTATGTACATTTGTATTTTTAAAATGCACGAAAGAGAAATATGAAATAAGTACGAATAAATGATTTGCATTCAAAGTAAGCTAAGTCAATAATAATAACACAGATTGGTTAATTGTTCCGTTTATTTTTAGTAGCTCTTTTACTGTAAGTAGGCATATATAGTAGAGGTCAATACTAATAACATACACATATCTAGATTTTAAAGTATTTATATATACTTATGTACGTACATATTAAATGTTATATACACACACAGTTAATCTAAACATGTAGTTACATTATCTATAAATCAAAACGAAGCAACACAAAATAAGTAAAGCATTAACATAGGAAGACAAAGCAACCATAAGCTTAGTGAATAATTTGATGTATTGAAAAAAATAAATTACAAAAAACCAATAAGGTTTAATAAAAACAAAAACATGTTGACAAGAGAAAGAACCACGTGTACTTCAATTTGTGGGCGTTGTGGCTTAGAAACATTAACATAAATTTGACTTCCCATCGATGGATAGTATAGAAGTTGGATATACCTTTATTTCGTAAATCTAAACAGTTTTAAAAAGGTTTTACAACATTTATATGTGAATATCGTAAAAATCGATTTTTGGCTTGTTAGCTTGATAGTTGTTTATCCATAGATATGACCATCGATTAAATATGTTTGGTCAAGTGATCAGTAGAGCCTAAGAACAAATAATGTTTGCGCGCTCTTGTAAGCTGCTGCCCACTCTCTCGGCCTATCGTTCTGAGCGGAGCTTAATTTCAACAACCGAGGCACAACTGTTTCGAATTGGCTGCCAAGCAACAATATAATAATTCGTAATTTCTAATAAGTGTCCTGTGCGGCAAATAAATACATTCTTAACAAAAATATAATTCTTTGAATTTCGCTGCACACAAGCAGTGATAATTAATTAGTTGCCAAAGGCTTATAAATACACAAAATCATTAAAATTCAAGGGTAGACAGCTGGGTGCAATTAAGAATATTACTAAAGGAAAAGTCTTAAGGGGCTTTCCATATAACGGACGTGATTGTGATACATGCCGGCACAAAATAGTAATTTTGGTGAGCGGCCCCTGAATGAAATTACGCTGGCGAACCGTTGAGTGATGAAGAAGTGCGTCTGCAAATGCTCTGAGATGGGAGGAGAAGAAGGAAGTCGCAGAAAAAATATGTTAGACACGGGAGCCTCTGTCAGTCTGCTAGGCCGAGGATAGTTAGTTGGGAACTTGAATGGGCAGCGTAGCCGTCGATGGGTAGGGCAGCGGCGTCTGCCAGTCGATCAATTTGCGGCCGCGTTGTTCTACCTGTAAAACACAGAAGTAGAAGTTAAGAAATTTTATTTTACATGTTACATGTGATACCTGGGTATCTATTTCTGGCGATTTTTCGCGAACGCTCCAGAGGTGTTCGATTAGGGAGACGATCAGCGCTGATCTCACCAATTTTAAAAAGACCCACCTGTTGCGGATACAACGGAAACATCTGATCTAAAAAACCGATCCCGTGAAGGACAGGCATTTTCCATTGTCACCGGCAAAGCAAGACACCGTGTGGGCCGAGCTGGACAGGATGCTGCAGAATAACTGGACGACAGTGTGATGAGGCCTAGGAAATATAGATAGATGCCCGGAAGAACGCACGGTATATAAGCCAGAAAGGCCACTCTATCATTTTCGCCACATGCCATTAAAGCTCTGCGACACTGCCCGGAAATTATGGAGGATCATGGACAAGATGATCCCGGCAACTTTAGGGCCCAACGTATTCTTGTACTTGGATTATTTGTTGATCATTTCGGAAGATTTTAAGACGCATCTGAAGTATCTTAAAATGGTGGCCAAATGCTTAAAGTCCGCAATCGCATAGACATTCCGAAATCCAATTTCTGTTTTCGCAACATAAATTATGTGAGGCTCATTATAAACGGCGGGGCATTGCGAATGGATAAGGGCAGAGTGGAGATGATCCGGAACGTACGAAGCCCGAGCACAGCGGTGTGTATCGTCGCTTTATAAAGAGCTACAAAGACATTTCAGTTCCGTTGACTGATTCACTTAAGAAGAGAAAGGAAAAATTTGTGCTGAGCGCCGAGTCCGGAGAACAGTGCAAGGTAACTCTTACCACTCCGTGTTGGCCGATTTCAAAAGGCTCTTTTTCATCCAGTGTTATGCATTTCACTTCGAAGTAGGAGCCGTGGTGTTCCAGCTGGATGAACAGTAGCAAGAGAGGCCAATATAATTTTTTCGGTGATGGACAAGGATTGCCTGGCAGCCAAATTGCCCTTCGTAGAGATGCAAACCTGTAGATTATGATCATTTAAGCTGTAGGTGTTCTTTTTCTCAATCCGTTACGGGAGGGGACTATAGTGTTGTCGCTGACACATTATCTAGAAACTTCGAAGAGGCGGAAGTGACACCTGTTCAAGGAAACGGCGCAAGAAATTGGAGGATGATGTTGAAAACTCTGGATGCCGGAATTGCTAACCGATGGAGCATTAGCAAAACGTTGCATGCGCTGTGCAGGTGTCATTTTTGGCCCAAGATCCAAGTTCGGAATCACGTTCGGAAATGCGCCATCTGCGAGGAGACTAAGGTTCAGATATATAGGATGCAGGTGCAGGTTGGAATTGGGGAAGAAGTACGCACCGTTCGTCTATATATATATCCTTGTAGACCTTCTGGGTGGCCAAAAAATCGCTATAAAATTGGGTCTCCTCAACCATCTGGATCAAAAAATGATGTATTATGTAAGTATTACGCAATTCCTGCAAATAACGGAGGGTATACTGTTCATTACGTTCCAGATGCGTTTTCAACTATTCTACTGATTAATAATAAAGATAAGGCAGGAGGTAATTGTCAAAATCTGATATTATTTATACGTGGAAAACGGTACAGGCCAATTACCAAATCCTGCAATTATAATTGGCATAACTATGAAAAACAAGTAAGAGGTTCTAGTCGGGAGCTCCCGACTAGGGGATACCCTGAACCCTCTTACTCCAACACCAAATAAATTAATAAAAAAAGTTCCCTTGGCAGGGCTCGAATTTGCAACTGACCGCTTAACTTACTGTACTTATGATAAAAAAAAGGTACTAAAATAACATTACAAAAAAAAGATGCAATTACCATGCTATTAGAATGCGAAGCAGACGCGCATGAATGGGCGTGTGTACATGTATACAGAAATTCTTAAAGCTGCTGCCCCATTCAATTGCGCAGTTGCATATAACTTTGGTTTTTCTTAACCGATCTTTATGAAATTTTCTACAGTATATCTTATTGTACCATAGAATATTTGTGTAATCTGAAAAAGTCAATTGCATTTAAATTGTCGTTTAAATTGGTTGGCAATAAAAGTTGGGTTATTAACTTGATTTATAGCTCTGGGGTGGTAGCGGGGAGGTGGCGATAGGTATGAAATGAAAGTTACTTGAAATATCTATAATATTCTTGAAGCAACATATCATGTTTGGTGGCTCTAGCTCTTATTATTTACCCAAATTGCTTAAAAAAAACAGGATGCCGATATCGATTTTTATCGATTGCTTGGAAACGGAGTAAGTTATCGATTATCGGAAACAAACTCGATCTGCGCGGGATCTAGGAGCATCTACATCTAAAATTTCAGTCTCTAGCTCTTATAGGTTCTGAGATCCTTTGACTCATACATACGGACGGACGGACGGACGGACGGACACACAGACGGACATGGCTAGATCGACTCGGCTATTGATGCTGATCAAGAATATATATACTTTATGGGGTCGGAGATGCTTCCTTCTGCCTGTTACATACATTTGGATTTTGCACAAATACAATATACCCTTATACCCATTTTTAATGGATTCAGGGTATAAAAATTATAATAAAAGCATGGGCGGTAACAATAACATATAAATTTGGTCAGTTCGAATTAAAATTCTTAAAGGAATTCCTACTATTCCTGCTCAAGCACCAACAATAATGTATAATGTTCCAATATCTTTATGATTTGTTGAAAATAATGATAATTGCGATTAAGTGGCTAAAGTTGGGAGACAGATTGTAAATCTTAAAGCCTTTAACCTTAAATATAGAATAAAATATTGAAATTAAAATTAATCCAAAAATTGATAAAAATATACAGTATGTCAATAAAGTGTTTTTACTAACAAAAAAAAACTAATTTTTTGGGTTTAGTTGAAAATAAATGTACCTAAAAGTGAGAATTTTTTTTCAATTATAATTTATTTCGATTCTATATTTTTCCTAGAACTTAATGGCAAAAAGAATTGTTAAATAACATTACCCAAACATTTTATAAAATTAAAAAACTAAAAACATTCACATTTTATGCTGTCAATAAAGTGTTTTTACAGCTACGGTAAATTGTTTTGCCGTTCTCTTTTGGGTGATCCCGTTAGATTTGGGCCCATGCGTTTTGGCTTCTCTTGTGTCTTCGACTTTTCTTGTCATTTTCTATTGCAATTTATAACGTTTTGCTTTAATTTTATGAAAAATAAAATGCCAGGAAAAAGAACAACTTTTGAAGTCGCTCAGCTGGTGTATTATAACCATCAGATGGGACGTCAAGTCTCGGAACTGGCTGATATGTTTAATTTATCAAAAGCAACGATATACAACATATTAAACAGAGCCAATAAGGAAGATAGGCTAGAGGCAAAGCCAGTATGTGGTCGACCCTGCAAAATTTCTGACAGAGATAAGCGAAAAATTCTGAGAAAAATTGAGAAAAATCCACAAATTTCGCTTAGGGATATTGCTCAGGAGTTCAAGGAAGAAAGTGGTGTTGATGTGTCACATGAAACTGTCCGAAAATTACTGAATTCCAATGACTACACATCACGAGTTGCCAGGAAAAAACCTCTACTATCGGCGGCGAATATTTTGAAGCGGCTATCGTTCGCTCAAGTCCATGTAAATAGTTCGAACGATTTTTGGAGTAACGTCATATTCTGTGACGAAAGCAAGATGATGCTATTCTACAACGATGGGCCATCCAGAGTCTGGAGAAAGCCACTAACAGCGTTGGAAAACCGCAATATTATTCCAACCGTTAAATTCGGAAAACTATCAGTGATGGTGTGGGGGTGTATTTCGAGCAAGGGTGTAGGAGATTTGACCTTCATTGAGAATACCATGGATGCTAGACAATATCTGAGCATTTTACAGACACATCTCGTCAGTAGTGCACAGAAATTTGGATTCTATGAGGGCAATAAGCCAATTTTTAAATTTTACCAGGACAATGACCCGAAGCATAAAGCTCATATGGTAAGAGTTTGGCTGTTGTACAACTGTGGAAAGGTGTTAGACACTCCACCACAAAGTCCAGATATGAATCCAATAGAAAATGTGTGGTCATATTTGAAAAAAAAAGTCGCAAAGCGGAGTCCAAAATCAAAAACTGATTTAAAAGCTGCTGTACTGGAAGAATGGCAGAAGATTCCAGAAACATACATACAAAACCTTATTGTTTCAATGAAACGGCGATTGCAGGCAGTATGTGACGCTAATGGCAGCCACACAAAGTATTAAAAAAAAATATTCCTGTTTTTTTAACATTGTTATTTAGTAATAAAGTTTCGTGTAAAAACACTTTATTGACAGCATAAAATTTGAATGTTTTTAGTTTTTTAATTTTATAAAATGTTTGGGTAATGTTATTTAACAATTCTTTTTGCCATTAAGTTCTAGGAAAAATATAGAATCGAAATAAATTATAATTGAAAAAAAATTCTCACTTTTAGGTACATTTATTTTCAACTAAACCCAAAAAATTAGTTTTTTTTCGTTAGTAAAAACACTTTATTGACATACTGTACATATTAAGTATGGTTTTAAACTAAAATCATTGATTTTAGAGTTAATAACTCAATAATTTCGTAGCAATTAAGTATAAATGAGAGGAGAGAGTTCTCAGTTGAGAGTGATTGACGTGTTTTACTTGTGCTCCAAGATTTTTATATATTTTTGCGCTTTAATCCTGCTTTTCATTTCAAAATTTTTCATTTTTCGGTGCTTTATTTAAAAAGCTTTTATATACTGTGCAGTGTTATCTGTTGTGCAGCGTAAGTCTGTTAATTATTGCATTTTTAAAACGCGGCGTCAGTTCCGTGTTGTTGTTATTGCCTGTTTTGATTATTTTGCTTTGGTGCTCCCCTGTGCATACACTTGTTTGTGCGTGTGTTCGCTGCATACTTTCTGCTTGTGCATCGCGCTCTCGCAAATTTGCTCTATTGCTTTTCGCTCCAAACAATTTGTTTGTGTACGAATAATTGTTTTTTGAGTGTTTACTTGCTCTATCTTGTGCACCGTTTTCGTTTTGCTCTGTGCTCTCGAAAATTGCATACGCATTTAATAATTATGTTGTGCTCTAAGAAACCGTGCACGTTCAAGCAGGCTGATGATTCTGCACTGCCGCAATTTGTTAATTGCTGGCTGTGTGACAATATAATGCATGCCAAATGCGCAGGTCTCACTGGGCGTGATTGCGACAAGATCGCTGCTATTGCCAAGAAGGGCTGTGGTGGCTTGTGTTGGTCGTGCCCAGAATGCATCGACAAGCAAATTGATTTCTCCAGAATGTATAATTCTGTGAGAAATCAGTTCTTAAAATTGAATAGTGTGGCTAAGCAGCTCTCGAGTAATTTTGACTCGAGTTTCGAGTTGCTTGGCAACTATAAGCGTAACCAGCCTGTCACCCTTCCAGTCCCTTCAATACAGGGTACTATTTCTGCCCCAAAAAACTAGCTTCATCTTCTGACCAAATCTTTACTCATTATCAGAATGTCAGAGGTCTCATTTCAAAGCTTAAAAATCTTTTCATGGCCAGCACTTCCTTCGATTTGGATATAATAGCATTTTCAGAAACATGGTTGAACTCAACCATATCTGATTTTGAGATTTTATCTAATAACTTTATTTTGTATAGAAATGATCGGCCGACTCGAGGTGGTGGGGTGTTAATTGCCGTTAAAGCCACTCTCCAGTCAGAACTTTTCTGTTTTAGTACGTCTACTGACGCTGAGATTGTCTCAGTTAAGGTGTCTTTTCCTACACGGAATGTCTATGAAACATGCTCTTATGTCCCACTTTCTTCTGATATTCAAGTTTATATGAAACATATTACTTGTATTAAAGAAGTTTCTTCACACGTGCTTGATAATGACCTATTTATGGTGTTGGGTGATTTTAATTTGCCCAACATCTCTTGGTCATTATTTACTGCCAAAAATTATCTAGTGCCCTCAGCACAGCACGATTTTATAGACTGCATGCTTGATCTTTCGTTGTTTCAAATCAATTCAATTTCTAATCATTTGATTAGAACACTTGACCTTGTATTTGCTAACGACTACCTTATTTCTAATGTGTCTAGGTCCCCTCCTTTATCTCTTCCTGAGGATGTCTATCATCCTACCTTAGAGATTGCAATGCTCAATTGCCAGCAATGACACTAATTCTGCTAACCTCTTTGCTAATTTTTTCCATCAACTTACTCTTCAGTCTGTCCTAATACTAATTCTTACCCTTATACTATTTCTTTCCTATTAGCTATAGATTCTTTAAAATCTTCTTACTCTCCTGGGCCGGACAATATTCCTAGTTGTCCACTCAAGGAGTGTAGTTCTTCCCTTCTTTATCCATTGCTAAAGCTTTTTAATCTATCCCTTGAAACTTCTGTCTTTCCATCTCTTTGGAAAGAATCTTATATCATTCCTCTTCACAAGAAAGGTGGGAAGTCTGATATACGAAATTACAGGGGCATTGCAAAACTGTCCGCTATTCCTAAATTATTTGAAAAAAAATCACTTCGAATTTGCAGCATTTCTGCAAATCAGTTGTTTCCCCTGGTCAACATGGATTCGTAAAGAATCGCTCAACTATGACCAATCTGCTTGAGTTTACTTCCTTGGTAAATGATGCTTTCCTTTCGAAAATGCAAACTGATGTCATTTACACTGACTTCAGTAAGGCGTTTGACTCTGTGCACCATGACATTTTACTCTTTAAACTTGACCGAATAGGTTTCCCCCTGTCTCTTTTGCTTTGGATTAATTCTTATTTAAAAGGTAGGACCCAAAGAGTAATGCTGAGGCTGACTACCTCTAAACGGGTTCACGTTACTTCTGGTGTTCCTCAAGGTAGTCATCTTGGACCTTTACTCTTTACTCTTTTTATAAATGATCTCCCCTCTGTTATATCACATGCCCGTGTACTCGAGTATGCGGACGATGTCAAACTTCTTCTATCATACACTAATCCCCTACATCATTCTCGTTTACAAGACGATTTGAACGCTATGCAACTTTGGTGTTTGGACAATCAATTGCATCAAAATTGTTCAAAGTGTATGTTTATGACATTTAATCGTACTACACCTTATCTTGTCAGTTATACAATCGACAATATCCCTTTGTAACGTATACTAACAGTTAAGGATCTAGGCGTTATTTTTTATTCTAAACTCTGTTTCAATCTTCACATATATACCATCGTTAATGAGGCAAAAGGTGTACTTGGATTCATTAAACGATGGTCTAAAGAGTTTAACGATCCTTTTATAACAAAACTTGCTCTTGCATCTGGTCTCCACAGTATAACAATAGCCAGGATCGTATTGAATCTGTTCAGAAGCAATTTCTGCTTTTTGCCTTACGAGGTTTAAATTGGGACCCTAATCTTCGGTTGGCATCCTACTCCAGCACTCTGCTTCTTCTCAACCTTCCGTCGTTAACCAACCGTAGAACAATTCTCGGTGTTGCCCTTCTACATAAGTTGATTATTGACGACATAGATTCCCCTTCTCTGCTAGGGCGTCTTCAATTCTCTGTTCCGGCTAGACCAACTAGAAATTATCGCCCTTTATTCCTATCTACGTGCACAACAGACTACGCTATGCACAATCCTTTTCGCGTGCTATGTACAAATTATAATAGTTTGCATCACGTTTTCTCTACAGAGCTGTCTCTACCCCTAATAAAATCGTTGCTTTAAGGATACCTTCGGGAAGTCGCTGACCATTCCCAGCTATGAGCAGGGGCATAGCTTGCCGGACAGGCTGAGTGCTATGATTTTTTTTTTTAGTTTAGAGTGCTCTGGTGTTGCCGTAGGTCATGATCTTCTGGCTCGTTAGTGTAGCTAGTTACACTAGTTCGTTATAGTTCTTCAGAAAAAACGATTTATTAAAGCTCTTACCATATCAGCCGGTCCCTTAATTGTGTTTCCCTATGTTCCTTAAGCTTACTAATGCTTTGAACTACCATCGTATTAAAATGAATATAATATAAACTATTAATTGGTGTAATTGTTCTGGAGACGTTGTCATATTTGGTTTGTTTTCCTGAATTTCTAAAACTTCGTACAGATTTCGTATAAAGTCTATACTGCTTCCTTGTCTTTTTGTCTTTTTCGAATCATCTATTTCACAATTTTGCAATGTAAATTTATTTAATACCTACATATAAACTCCTTATTTGGTTGATGCCTTGCATTGAGTGAGGTTTTGTGCCGCTGCCGTCGATGCATCGGTTAGTGACCCGCTCTGATGCTGGGTAATCTTGGTAACTCGCTCAATTACTCACTTAATAATAATTTATAATTGTTCGGTTTACAAAAATGCGACGAATTCTTTGCACCTAATGAAAAAGAAATTGTCAGTATTAAAGTTATTTGACTCAAAGGAGGGGAGTCTTCTTGGCTTTCGCATAGATTTCATCTCGAATTTGGAGGGTGGCGTTATGCCAATAATTTATTAGCAACACAGGATGGGAAGGTGCGCCATGGCAACAACACCGATTGATGTCCGATTTTGCATTAGTAAATTTTGTTATCATCGTTTTTTCACTGTTTTTCCACTGGGCTTTGCTTACGGTTTGAAGTCAGCTGTTTAGCGATGTGCATACTTGGTGGACTATTGTACAATAGTTCGTGCCGGCGGGCACTGGTATACCCACCTCTGAAGAGAGTACTGGCTAGTCGGCGCTGCCCTTGAGTGACAAGCCGCCACGTAACAATGTCAATCACCTCCAATGTATTTTATAGCGTGATTCCACTATGCTCAAAATATGTTACATTTACAAACTTCATATTATGCGATTCCATAAGCAAGTGTCAGTTGTCGGTGACTTATTAATTTCAAGAGTATCGCTTCTTTAAATAAACCGTTGATCGGTTTGACTTGATTTACCAAATAATACAGCTCTGAAGTAGGGGCTCCATTTAATGGACTCTTTGCAGGATTTGGTCTTATTGCAATGTTAAACACTGGAGTTTGTAAAACTTAAAATATAATTTTAAGTTACCTCTTGTCTACGTTGCTATATCATCTGTTCATGGTCACGATACTATTATATTTTTCATAACATCGATACGAAATTCGATAAATCATCACAACAAGCACGAATTATTCGGGGCGAATACCAAAATTTTTTGCAAATGTGAAAAACGTTGTTTCTTATGGGAAAAATAAGCGAAAGCAGCCTATCCCTGTCAGCCTTCTGGTCCCCACGATACAAGCCGTTACTGCCGTAAAAAACTAACTACGTCTTCCGACCTAGTTTCCATTCATTACCAGAATAAAAGAGGTCTCATTTCTATGCTTCGATTCGGATATAATCGCATTTGCAGAAACATGGTTAAATCACTAACCATACAATGTATAGACATACCAAATGGCACTTTTAATCGAAACATGAAAAATCGAAACGAGGCGACCCCAATGGTACCTGCGACCATTTTAGTGTGCCCAGACAGAGTAAGACTGCTGAGAGAGGCAGCCGAACGCCGGTCTCAAAAGCCGAACGTTCAGTATGAAGCCGCATCTCGCTCAGCGCACAACGTCGCGGCTGTTGATGCGATTTCTTAATATATGTATGTATGCCATTTTTAAATCCTTACAGCCCAAAAACATATATGTGTATGCATGTGCCTCGCTCATTGCTTTGCGCATTTGCGTCCATCTCTTTCTCCCTCCCCGAGATCTACAAACATTCCTATGTTTGTGTTGTGTGGATGTGCGCACAAGTAGATCGCGGAGTTTGTCGCGAGCCAGAGGTTTCTTCAATTGTGTGCCTTTTGTGCCTGTGGTGGCAATAGGCACTCACATTTAAATGCTCTATGATGTATTTCTTCGTCCAGTCAGGCATGATGACAACAATGTGATCTAATTTTATTTAATACACAATTAATTGACCTAAATTAAATATTTATATTTATTTTCTATTTAATGTAGGGACATATTTTGCTTAAAATACAAAAATATCTAAGTCGTATTTCTGCAAGGGTAATTCATCGTCGGCTTGTAAGAATTTTCAGAACAGGTCAAAAATTGCCAATGTTCAATTTTTGCGACTTGCTGCTTGTGCACACGCACACTCTTTCGAGTAAGCAGTTGTGTGATATTATTAAAGGGTTTGGCCTGTTCATGTGCAAAATTAATATTTTTCATGCTTGTTGTAAGGGTAAGGGTACCTGATCGCTGGCATGTATGCATGATAACTTTTTGGTACGGCAAACTACGCACACTAACACAGTTTTCTATATGGATGGAAGCATTAATGCGTTTGTGTGCGTGTTGGTTGCCTGCCTGCCTATCCGATGCAAATTTGACAAAATTTGAAGTTTTTGGCATTTGTGAATTTCGAGCTCTACACACACACATATACACACTCACAAATGTGTGTGAATGAGCTGATCAAGGGTTTGTCGTGCGGCAGAGATATTTTTATGAATGGGTGCGTAAATTTGGGTGACTGGCACGGTCTTTGTTTTTTTTTGGCATGCCTGCGGTGGGCTTGCAGACGGGCTTGAATGAAACAGGTGGATCGCACTTGTCGCTCGCTTGAAACTTTGATATGGAAAAAATGCAAGTAATCTTTTTATGAATTTATTGGTATTATTATAATCTAAGGTTAAAGGGTTTTATGACAGGCATTAACGATCAGAATGTCTAGCATGCGTCTGGATCCATACCATTTTCATTGCCTCTTTATTCATTTGTGCCTTTTGCGGCTGCAAGCCCACCGCAGGCATGCCAAAAAAAAAACAAAGACCGTGCCAGTCGCCCAAACTTACGCACCCATTCATAAAAATATCTCTGCCTCACGACAAACCCTTGATCAGCTCATTCACACACATTTGTGAGTGTGTATATGTGTGTGTGTAGAGCTCGAAATTCACAAATGCCAAAAACTTCAAATTTTGTCAAATTTGCATCGGATAGGCAGGCAGGCAACCAACACGCACACAAACGCATTAATGCTTCCATCCATATAGAAAACTGTGTTAGTGTGCGTAGTTTGCCGTACCAAAAAGTTATCATGCATACATGCCAGCGATCAGGTACCCTTACCCTTACAACAAGCATGAAAAATATTAATTTTGCACATTAACAGGCCAAACCCTTTAATAATATCACACAACTGTTTACTCGAAAGAGTGTGCGTGTACACAAGCAGCAAGTCGCAAAAATTGAACATTGGCAATTTTTGACCTGTTCTGAAAATTCTTACAAGCCGACGATGAATTACCCTTGCAGAAATACGACTTAGATATTTTTGTATTTTAAGCAAATATTGTCCCTACATTGAATAGAAAATAAATATAAATATTTAATTTAGGTCAATTAATTGTGTATTAAATAAAATTAGATCACATTGTTGTCATCATGCCTGACTGGACGAAGAAATACATGATAGAGCATTTAAATGTGAGTGCCTATTGCCACCACTGGCACAAAAGGCACACAATTGAAGAAACCTCTGGCTCGCGACAAACTTCGCGATCTACTTGTGCGCACATCCACACAACACAAACATAGGAATGTTTGTAGATCTAGGGGAGGGAGAAAGAGATGGACGCAAATGCGCAAAGCAATGAGCGAGGCACATGCATACACATATATGTTTTTGGGCTGTAAGGATTTAAAAATGGCATACATACATATATTAAGAAAACGCAGCATCAGCCGCGTCGTTGTGCGCTGAGGGAGATGCGGCTTCATACTGAACGTTCGCCTTTTGAGGCCGGCGTTCGGCTGCCACTCTCAGCAGTCTTACTCTGTCTGGGCACACTAAAATGGTCGCAGGTACCATTGGGGTCGCCTCGTGAGTCAAGGTCAAGGACGGACGGATATAGGTGCTGCTAGCTCCCGCGCAGATCGAGTTTGTTTCCGATAATCGATAACTTACTCCGTTTCCAAGCAATCGATAAAAATCGTAATCGATATCCTGTTTTTTGGGCAATTTTGGTAAATAATAAGAGCGAGAGTCACCAAACTTGACATATAGCTTCTAAAATAGAATATATATATGCATTTGATGTTGGAAGTCGGGAGCTCCCGACTAGAACCTCTTACTTGTTTTTATTTGTTGTTGTTGTTGAGATTTCCAAGTAATAATAATCTTTTTTATTTTATGTTAACTTACAAAATAATTATGCTGGTGCTCTTCAGAATAAACGTTAATTTTAATTTGTATATATAAAATATGTATATACATTACATGTATGCATTTGAATATAATATATATTCCATGTGTATATATTTATATATGTGCATAAAGTTGGTTTATTGAACAAAAGTAATCATAGCTACAACGCATATATATTTAGTATTGGAATATAAATTCATCTATATTAATATATTCATTCTTATGTGATTAAGGTTAGATTGTTTTAAGATTAGATTTGAATAAATTTCATCATAATAGAGATTAATATTTGTACATACTAAATACGTTATTATTTTCATTACTGAAACGTAAGCACAATATAAATTGAAGTCGATTTATCAGATAGATAAGGAGCCTATTATAGCGTGAGCCATATCTTGCAATTAGTAAGAGAAAAATTTCCTAAATAATAATTTTCAATTAAATGTTGTGGTAAAGGCCAACTAAGTATGTAATTGATTACGTATGAACATTAATTATGTTTCTATAGATTAAGGTCTAAGCTATTAATTTAAACTTAATTCTCTAACAAATTTTATAAAGAAAAGAATTTTTTTTAAAGTCATTATAACCGTCTTTTTGTATTTTCGAAGATCCGACTATTTGATACCCTGACAGACATTAACAATATGTTACTGATCTGAGACAAACAACCGTGGTGTTAAACAATAATAGCTTTGTGTTTATATTAAACAGTTGTCTGAATCTGATTAGTGCTTACTCATATATTAAGAGCTTACTTAGGATCGGAGTGGGTTTATTTCGCTAAAATACCTTGAAAACAACAAAGTTTTTGGCAGTTATATGAGATAGTAGTCCGATTCGGTATACTTTAACATATTTATTTATTATCTGCAGCAAAAAAAAAGGTTTCATCAAATAGCTCAAAACTAAGATACTTGTTTGAATATATGGTTCTTCGGTTTAATTTAAATAATATATAAACATCTAAAAATTGTGAATACCTCCGCGAGCATAAGACAAATTTTTTGATGAACAAATAAAATACATTTTGAGCTATTTCTTAAAGCCTTAATCAGTAGGTACATAAAAAACATTGTACATAATAAGTTTTAGTTTTTATTAATTGGAAGAGTGGAAAATATATTTTAAAGCGTACAATTTATTGATTGCTTTATTTGTACATACTCCTTGCACATACCAGCAACGCGTCTGATGAAGAAATATGCATGTACTAATAATTAATAATTAATAATTGTGTTCATTAATTATCGTGTAATATTATTAAAGAGGTAATTATGTTTTGCAAATGTAAGTATTGATTTTTAACTCGATTAAGCACAAATTATTTTAGATAATGATCGTGCTTATTATTCTTACCAAAAAGGACTGTCCTTTAAAATCGAAATGATTGATTTTATACATAAAATAATGAAATATGTCCGCTACAACAACGCTCTCCATATTGGAGTTTATTATAATAATATTTGTATTTGAAAGCTGGTGTTTAAAGATCCTCTATACATTCACGGACTATTGAATTATTGGTATCCATTAATATTGTTGTCGAAGAATTATTGATGCGACAGTGGACTTGGCTCAGAATAGCTACGAAGCTGCCATCAGAAGTTGGACGTCAATATGTGATTTCATCCTGGATAGCCACTTTATTTCCTTTAAAATTCAAAACCAACCGCCGCTTCCCAGCTTTGAGCTAAGTCCGCCAATGCCTTTACCAAGTAAATTACCAACCCGACCAGCGACTACGTTGGTGACAGCCGCAGCTTGGGCAGCTCCCGTCTTTGGCTTTGGGTGGCTCCGAGCTGCGTGAGCGCCAGATTCATCTCCACCATCCTCTTCGTCACCGTTGCGGATATCGTCACAATTTCTTTGTTGATTGACAGATCGATCATTAGATAAGTACTACTTGTCCATCGACCCTACTTACTCATCACCATCGGTGCCTTCTGGCATGGTCAGCGCACAGGTTGCCTCCTCAGCAGTCATTCGTTGTATAACTGTCTGATATGCTTTAGAATTTAGTTTGTCCTCGAGAACACCTTGCAGCTCAAAGTCTGAATAAATTTTCTGTTGATGTAATGTAAACAATAAATGTAGCAATTGTTTTATTAGATAATGTTCTCATTAGCACAACGAAATTGGATATTGGATTTTGCTGCAACATAACTTTTACAAAGTATTGGGAACGCCAAATAATGAATTTTGAAATGGATGAAAACAAGAGTATATAAGTTTTTTGCATATCTCATTATACAGCAGGCAGAAGGAGGCATTTTGTTTATGCCCACAATCAATTAAAGTATAGAGTCTTATATAGAGTCTCTGTGAATCGGGGCATAGCTGGCTTAGCGTGTCGTTATCATAAAATTGTATAATATTCTGAATATATTGTATAATTAATGAATCTGGTTACAAAATCCCCAATTTTTTTAAATTTGTGAATGCCCGTTCTACTAAAAATATGGCAATCCGTGAATGATGAACAAAGTTGGCATTTACCAAAATGGGGCGATAACTATTTATACTCATTGAGCAAAAAATTGGTTTGGATTGAGATTTGATAAAAGTTTAAAAAATGTATATTGGAATTGGTTTGCATTCCAATTTCGACAGCATTAAGAGAGATTTCTCATATTAATGACTACTAATGGTCATTATTTTTAAGGAATAAAGCTCGTAATTACTTAGTTTGGCTATGACTTATTATTGAACAGTATAATATCATTATATTAGCTAAATATAACTAAAAACCTGGATTTTTGGGTTGTTGACTGTAAGATTGTAAGCTTGCATTTCTAAATGCTGCTAGTCTTCAGGTGCAAAAGCGGCAAGCAACATGCAGGAAACTGCAAGATTGAATTCAATAGTTTTGAATACTTAAAAATTAAACTACTTCAAATATTAACAATTTAGAAAGTAATAAAGTGTATAGGGCTAGTGTTAAATTGAAATGCATTTGAATAAAATTTAGACATAAACCACTTTGTTCAAATTATTTTCGTCATTTGGGGCCCCCAATGAGTCGAGCAGAAGTGAGAAAGGTTGCAGCCTTATCTTGGTTTGTGCGAAGTAGTATCGTTTTAGTTTACCTTAATAATATGGGAAATAGACGTGACCTGTGCATAGTGTAGGGCGTGGTCCAAACGCTCTGATAGCCAGCTGGAGAGCATATTTATTTGCTGAGAGTACCACTGCTCAAAAAAGTTCAGTGTCCATAGGTCATCACCTATCTTGCCGCGTATTTGATCCATATTGTTACGAAAAAAATTCACATAGCCTTGTCCCAGATCTTTCCCTGAGCTCGACACGTTTGTAAAACTAAGAATCGAGCCAATGAGGCTACCTTCATCGTAACGCGCCAATTTTGACAAAGTCGACTCTAGCACTGACATAAGTTTGCCACTTAATCCTTGTGTCATCGCTACATTCGCTTTGTCGATTTGATCATCGATTTTTGCGTGGAATTTGTACTGTTTTTTTGTTTTGTTTTTGTTTTTATTTTAATATAATAATAATTAATTTAGTGTATAAGTAGGTTAGTTGTTATTGAGTACGTTTTATATTTATGAACATATGTAATGATGTAATGTCATAAATCTTTACTTACCAGATCAATACCATCGATGGTAGTTAATTTAAAGCTTTGGTTTTTAGCATCTAATATCACATTTACCATAGCGCACATCTCTGACGGTATAATATAATCGGTCGATATGAAGGCAACATTTTTTTTTAACCAAGACTGAAAGGAGGAGTCTGTGCGCTGTATGCACTGCTCAATCATATCAACAGCCATCATTTTCAGTCTCTGCTCCAAATGCTGACGAAACTCGGCATCTGGCCAATGCAGATCTCTAATAAAGGATTGCAATGCGTCTAGTTTCCAGAAAAGGTCTTCGGAAGTTGCACAACCATTTCTGTGCGTATAAAAAATAGGGAAGACAAGCAAATTATTTATAATTTATTATTAATATTTACTATTGCATTTAATGTAACGATACATTATACTAGAGCTATCTCTCTATACACTATACATACTCATATACGTAAATAATCATATAAATTATTATTAATTTTATTATCAGAAAGCTAGGTTACAATAGCGACCATATGCACAATCACGTCCGAAATAAAGTCGACTGATTATGTCAACATTTTGGATGGAGTTTGGGTTGAGTTTTTAGAAAACGAACTTGGTTCGCGACCTTTTTTTCAAAAAGACAACGGTATAAGACATGTTTCTTGAAGTACATTCGCAAAAAAAAACGCGATTAAAAGGACGTTTGTCTTTCAATACATAAGCTCAGAATGATAGTTGGGGAGGCATCTTCACAAATATCGCTCCACCTCCAGAATTTCCTGTTGATTCAGGGGCAATTTAAAAAAAAGATATTAATAATGGATTTTCATCATTACTTTAAAAAAGTAAGTATTATTTATAAAATTAAAAATATCGGAATACGGAATTATAGAATTGCCCGAAATCAGTGAATAATATACGGTATATAAGACTACCCTCGAACAGTACAGAGAATAGTTATTTTAAAAAACACTTGCAAAGCTTATAAAAAGATAAGGGAGCTTGAGTATTAAAATCATAAAAAAATAGTATTCCATATATTTTGGTTGGAAACATAATTTAATTAGCGATTCAATAAGCCCATCCATTAACGCTCACATAATATCCATCGAAATTGAATTCTCAGCATCTACTTTGTTTGAGCATAATGCAACCAATAGAATAATAATATAATTACAAATATCGGCGATTAACTTCAAGCAAGCAATGCAACTACAAAAATTTGAAAAGGATGCTTTTTCTACATAATTGCTAATACTGATTAAAGGTGTAGTATTGCCATCGTGGTGATATTGAGATTGACAAAGATTATAGGTAATAAGCGCACGCACAATGTGAAGAATATAAATAGCTAATGTTTATTTATTCAAATTTATAATGCCAAATTCTGTTATCAACTTACATTTTATATTATTAAAAGCGTATATAAATCGAAGATCATTTTAGCTTATAGGCTTATAATGCACGAATGCAGATGTCCCAAGGAAAACCCGGATTCATAAAAAAGGCACCACAGCCAGTCTCTACCTGCGTGTGATATCTCTAACTATAAGATGCTCGAATACCGTACGTCAAAGTTTTTTTTTTGTTTTAAGATAACTCCTTTTATCCCCAAATCAATGTATCGAATCTTGGTCGCACTTTTATAATCATATCTCACAGATTATAAAAGCTAAAGACAATAAAAAAGTTAAATATAAGATCTAGGTTCTAGTATAAAAATGCAGATTATAAATATTCCACATGTTGGGTAACTCCTTCAGCTTCATCAAAAGTGAACAGCAAAACAGTCTTGGAAAATGTATTTAATGGAATATAGCTTATCAGACAATAAACGTAGTTGTTATATTGGCGCTAGAGTAGTTCGTATAAGGGGGCACACCTTGCGTGTTAGTATGGCTTTTTTTGTGTGTCTAAGTAGATGCAAATGAATATTATGCATAGGGTAATTGCTAGTCAGGCAATAAACTTGCACTATATGAAGCCGGAAATTGTATTGTAATTGCACTAAATATATGCATATTTTGCATATTACTGGAATTTACGAAGTAGAATTTCGCGGGAATTCTAAATTTGCATAATTAATATAAATCCCATTCTTCAGAACAAAGAATATGTAAATTTAGCGGTTCGCTTTTGAACGACACATAATGTGGCTAAACAGAAAATGAAAGAACCATAAAATATATACATATATATGTTTGTACGTCGGTTCGGATATGCGCATATGTATGTATGTATGTATATGGTACTATTAAGAAGCAACTTTTCATCGGTAGTCGTGGTGGTGATAGTTGTGGAGGTGGCAGTAATTATAAATAGTATTATTAAAGCTATAATTATTAAATTTCTAATTGTTAGCATTACATAAAAATTTAATATTAATTAACATTTGCATGTATTTTAATTTTATAGTGAAATGCATAAATATGAATTATGCTCGCTAAAGTTCTAGATAAATCAACTCTTGGGCAATGCAATGCATGATAATTGGCAGAAAACAACAAAATGCAAAGAGAACATATTTTGAGAGTATGGCTACGTAAGTTTCTTAGGTAGGTGCATCATTTAAAAACCTCATTTCATCAGCGGCTGCTGCAGCTGCAGCTGGTCGCCTTGGTAGCTTCGGTACATAAAAATTGACTTGATCTTTCTTGCCGCTCAGCAGCCCCGCTGGGTTGAGAGCTGCCGTGTTTAGCGCCTGGGCGGCATTGTTTAATGCAGCTGGATTCAAAGCAGCGTTTATCCTAAATTTTCACAGAAATATGGAAATAGAAAATATGAGCGGCATATTGAATTTCTAGATATGAAATGAGTCAAGGAACAGAGGATGAACCTACCTACCAAGCCTAATTTCGCTTATCAATTCGTAAGCCCATCTCAACATCAAATAACATCGAATAACACAAATTGCGAGCAACTCACCCATACAATTCCATGTATATTTTATTTGCATTTCTAAATACCCAGCGGATCAACATAAAAGCCTCTAGCGAGCGTCTCATAAAATGCTTGCAAATGTGCTCATATATGCGCAGGCAACTGGTTGGATATTTTGTATGGCAAAACACTCGCACATATTGAAATATAAATTTATATATTATATAAATAATATGTAAATTTGTGAAAAGTAATATATTGAATCAACAACTTGTCACAGGACAACTTTTCACCAAAGGATCGCTAGCCCTTGATTTCACCAAAAACTGAACGACATATAAATCATAGTGCTATTGATTCCCGATTTGATTGCGAGAGTCTTGTCCGGGTTAGGTTTGGCATTTTGCCAATATGCGATATTATTTGCGAAAGTTAGGTCCGCTGGATAAATACATTGCTATAATACTTATTAGCTTTATCGATCGTTATTTTTTCAAAAATAAAATCCTGCTTGGTTTTTTTTGAGTTTTGAAACAATTGTGAAATTTTTGTATGTTCTTGTCAACTGTGTTGTAGATTTAATGATGTATCTATGCATTTACAATCGACTATTCAATTTGATAATATGAGACCTTGAATGCGATTTTGGTAATTTTATTTGTGGAATGTGATGGGACCGCTTACCCTTTGCTTTCCCAACGTTCCTTTTCAAAGCCCTTATGAATCGATTGAGCTATTGAGGATTCCATAAGATCCACGTACCGCACCACCAACGGTGCAAAGGTATCACGCAGGTGCTGGTGAAACCGTCCATTTCGCAAGTTATCTGTTTGATAAGGTTTATTATGTCATATTAATAAATAAATATTCTACATTAGCCTATATTAAATGAAAAACAAAACATTTTACATATACATGTAGCTCATAGGATTATTATGAAACTTATGTATGTTAAGTTCTAGAAAAAATAAATGCATTCTAAACTTACCATCAGACCTTAAATAATCATTAAGAATTTGGAACAATGGGAATGAGTCCCATGTATCTGGTGCTTGCTCGGACAAAACTCGGTCCATGTCAACTGCAAAAAGAGACCAGAATATTTCCGCATGCTCAACCAGTAGATCGCTGAACCAAGCAAACGCCTATGGATAAAAACGATAAAATCAATATTGAAAGACAAATGCAATTCAAATTGTAAGGTTACTAGACAATGTAAACTCTTTCTTATTTTAGATATTTTTGAAGTCCTCATGATAACGAAAAGCGAAGCGGTCAATATTGTTCGTTTGACGATTAATTGGATTATTGGATTGTTCAATTATGAAATATATCTATTTCAAATGTATATTACACATGAAAATAAAAACAAAGCTTATGAAGCCAGTCAATAATAATTATCTTCGCAGTCATGAACACTTCAACTTAATACAAATTTACAACTATTTTTATGTATTTTCGGTAAGCCGAAATACTTACAAACTTGCAGAAATTGTTTATTTATTTAATAAATGAGTAGCATAAAAAAATGATATTAAGCTTATTTTCTAATGAAACCCGGTCAAATTTATCGAGAGAACATTTTAAGGTGTTTGTATGAAAAAAATTATAAGTTATACAAATTATAAATTTGCTGAAAAAATTCAAGATGCAGAAAATATTAATATCTTTATACCCAGTACTCAATGGATAAATTAAGTGTATTGGTTATGCAAATAAACGAAGCACGTAGACGAGGACAATTCCTTAAAAACTTTTGAAAAGGTCGATGGTTCGGTTTACGTTTCGAACCAACTTCCTGCTGTTTGGCTCGGTAAGTAAACCGTATTTCAGACAGCCTAAAATACAGGTTTTGGGCCAATGCCTTGGTATATATAGATGATTCTGCTGCACTAAAACGCATTTAAGTAAATGAGCTAACAGTCAAGCAAGGACATAGACATTTTCTGCAAGTGTTTCCTCTTTGATAATGGATATTGTTTTTTGTGCTCAAATAGTATGAATGGCGTGCATTTGGTTCACATGTAAGTATTTAAATGTATTGATGTGTCTTTAAAGAAAATATAAGTGATTATTGAAACATATTTATTAAATATTATTCATTTTTCATAGGTACTATGCCTAGGTAGGTAAGTAGTTAGCTTAATCACCATAAAAGAAAAATTAAAGATCCTAAGTACGACCCACATGCAGTTTTGAAAACCACTATCGTCAATATTATCATTAAGTATCTGCTTATGAAAATGTTGTTAAAATGGAGGACGAAGTACGTTATATTATGGGCTCATAAAAAAAAACTTAAAACCAATTTGCCCAATTGTCTTACAGCTTATATTATGTTTTTAAATATCCTTCTTTTGTCTGCACGCTGATACACTGACTTGTAATAAGGGTACTAAGAACGTATTAGTCGAATATTAATTAGTCCTTGTCAAGGATATTTTTACCAAATACACTAATTCCTTTGTTTTCGTTGTATGTCTTCAAAAATGGGTAGTGTAATAGTTTGAAATCGGGAAAAGTTGTTATACCATTATAACCCCAATTGCTGCTATTTCGAAGTTCAATACGCGGAAAAACTAAAAAGTATATAACCTATACAATAGTGTCAAACAGTTTTCGGCTTTTGTTCAAGATGTAAACATCGAATATGTAATCCTTTAAGGCTTTCATCGTTTATATATTTTTTCTATTTTTGTAATCTCAAAACTAAGTTGCGTTTGTTCTATTATCTAATGATTTTTCTCTAGTCACAGACCCAGACTTAACAAAACTTGGTAAGTATGTTCTGTTGTATGGATGGGAAATTTGTATCTTAAGTAAAAGCCTCAAATTCGAAGTGACCAGTGGAATATAGATAAAGAAGATACAAACAGAGGGAGAGAAAGAGAGAGAGAGACAGAGAGCGAAAGAGGATATTTAAAAGTATTGATTATTAAATAGACAACAGCAACTGAAATAAATACTTTTGTACGATATGTAGGTTAACAAGCCATATACATTTCTGAGTCATGCTCATGCCATTTTTGGCTGGCATTGTTACATGCATTTAGATAATGTAAGTCGATCACAATAAGATCAAGCAAATATTACGCAATATATACAGTGTATGGACTTCAACACAATGTTACAAATAATAATTGGAAAACCGGAATTTGAATCACAAACCTAAATTGTGATCATGTTTAGAATATCAGGATCTCTCTTTCTAGTTACTACTGGTACCCTTTTTACAACCCTTAACATTTAATTATATTATTATACTTATCGACTCTCTCGACTAACTCAAAATGCTGAAAACATCGCAAACACCACTTAGAATATATATTTTAGAAAAAACCATAAGTAATATTTATACTATCGACTAGTTATACAATGTCGCTCCTGAAAATTTGTTTCTTATAAGAAACACTTTCAGTTTGCATCATCGTACTGCAGTATCATAAATTGTATGAAAATTTTGCTTAGTCTAGAAATATATCGAAAATTAATTATATTTTTGCAAGTGTATTACATTTTTGGCACTTTCACGGCAGATGTTCGTTGCTGTTTTCACTACTCTAGATATGATTTGATAAAATCTATTTGAGGTAATGTTGTTCTTGTTTTGTTTTATCCAATATTTGTATTAGAGAGTCGATTTATTGTGAAATATGATATAGTGTTTAGTACTTTTTTATTTGAGATAAACAAATTCATTGTTTTCATATTATTTTATAGGCTTATGTCGCATTGCAAATATGTAAAAATGTCGAGGATATTGTATAATTTTATATTGGTGTAAGATGCTGAGATATTGGCAAGTTAAAATAAGCATATGTGTATGCGTCATTATGAATTTTTATGAAAGTTAATGTTTGTATGTAAATATTTGTGTTCATATATGGTATTGTTATGTTGTCTATCTTACGAGGTTCTTGTGAAATAATAGATCTTGATTTGTACAGGTATTAAGAGGAGTACGTGCCGTTGGTACTGGCGATGTGTATACCGCATGTGTGGGCATACAGTAACGAAATGGGGGCGGTCCGTCAGAGATACCGGCAGCGACATCCATTATGCCTTTTGACGTTGCCTGGTCCATGCTTGAAGTGGCGGAAGTAACAGTGGAAGCAGCATCGACCCGACCGTCTATAGTTCCTGTGCCTGTGCCATCGACGCCTTCCTTTATTGTTTTAAGTTTTTCCTTTTTGTCGTGTTTGCGAAGCTATATGTGTAAATCGAGTATATACAAATACAAATGTACTACATACGAGTTATAGCTACATACTACTCAAGAATATTAATCCAAGATGGTTCGAAATCCTCATCTTGATAACATTAGTAAAGTACAATGCATTTCGTTTTTGCTAAATTACAAAAAATCATTTAGAATTGCATTTGCGAATTATCATTGCACAATATTATAACATGGAGACAAGTACACATATTCTTTTTACAATGTACTTCGACTCTTGTTAATATTGGCGGACAAGATTTAAATCGGTATCAATGGCATGTGCACGCATCTGTATTTGAAACGTTTTTTATTATATAACGTACTTAAATTTGTTGAATCATCCGCAATTTAAATGATACATGCATGTATGTATTTTTTTGTTATTAATATATGTATGAATTATTTGCTATTGTAGTATTAAAGAAAATGTTGATATTAATAGTTGCTCTTAATTATATTAAGTGCTTTAATTAAGTCTGCAGTCTGAAAGCCACTTTCGATGTTAGTAGAACTGAAACTCATTAGGCCAACATTGAGGATTCGGATTCGAATACGAATGTTGAGTAAAAATGTATATTGCGACAATATAATTCAAATAATAATACATTTTAAATTTAAAAGCTAACAATCTATTAATTTGCAATGTAATTATGAATTAAATAAACATTACAATTTCTGAACATATTTATAATTCACGTCTCGCCGAATGTAAACAAAGATATCCAATCTGTTATTCCTGTCTTATATGAATATGAATCTGCATGTAAGACCCTCTTGGAGAATTATGACCAACAAAAAATAAATAGTGCGAATAAATTGATATGTGGATATAGATAAATCGATGCGAAAAAAAGTAATGCATGTTTACACGAAGTATCAATGGGTGCTGGGGTATAGGAAGGGGAAAAACATAACATATACATACATACGAAGACACGAAGTAAACTCGAATAGTACACGCACATGTTGTAAATATATAGAACAGGTCAAAATATAAAAGTAATTTTAGTTAATACGAATAGTTCATAGATTAATTAATACAGTATTACACAATGCATAAGGAGGAGTGCTGCGACATCTGAGTGAGCATTCCAATAGACAGAAACATTTATGGTCACATATTCAGAACATTGTTTGCTCATTGCAATGTAGATACATATTTGCCTACAGACATTTAAACAACACCTAAAAAAAAAACATTTAGTCGTAGAAGAAGTGTGGACTGAGTGTATACTCCGACATTTCTATAAATGTGCAAGAATACAGCATGAAGGCTTGCATTATACTTACATTGACTAAGACTATATTGTGTAACCCATACATATTGATTTTTTATTTCTAATCTTATTTCATGATGACGATAACTTACTTCACCATAGTGCTCTTCATTTTGCTGCAACAAATCAACACATAGCTCAGCCAAGTGTATTAAATCCTCTAGTTTTTTTGGTGGCGGTACAATAAGTTCACCACGCAGATCCTCTGCGAAATTAACAAATATGGTATTATTAATGGACTGAACAATGCCAATTACAATCTATAGGCTACCTTCGATTCTTGCTTCCGCCGAAAGCCGTGTGTAGTTAACAAGAGCAGCGGTCTCCAAGCTTTTTTTAATCATTTGACGCACTTCTTCCGGTGGTACTGGGGTAACGATATCTTTCATTAGAACTCTTTCAAGTAAAGACAGCGTAGCTTTTAATGCTCCTTCAGGGCGACCGAAAGGAAAACAATATCGAAAATTTGTTATTTGAAACTCAAGAAGCTGGCGCAGACGTTCTTTTATTTCAGAAAACTTCTCTTTCTCTTCATGGGTTATGCTGCCCACTCCATCAGGCCTACAAAATTGTTATTAGTCCGTAGAGTCCTTTTTTTTAAAAACACATATAAGCATTTATACAATACCTGTTGCCATGCACATGACTAGCGCAGAATGCAAACGAATAATGAATCAATGTGGGATCAATCATATGCTGTTTCTCAGCACGATCCAAAAGGTCGGAAAGATAACATAAGTGTCTGTAGCACCCTCGTACACCGTATCGAGCGCAATACTCGTCCAAAACAAATACTTGTCCCGGACTAAACCATCCCTATAAAATATGAAGTAATATATATACATATAAGTGGAATAGAAATTTTATTTGAAATTAAATAGCTTACAAGAGATGCGTATGGATCATTTAGTCGATATTCGAGTGTTAAGTTTTGTAACGTTTTAAATAAACTAGCATGATCGAAAGTACATGGATCCGCACTTATATAGTCCTCCATTCCATGTTTGCGTGCCTTATCCGCATCTAAATTATGTATATATAATATATTATTGACCAAGGAATTCAAAGTGTCACAGCATAAAATTCAATCAATTGGGCAAAACGCGAAACAGCCTTGTATACGAACTGAAATGTAGATATGGGTAGTCTCAAAACGCACACCCCAAACTGTAAGAGCTAGGAAGCTGAAATTTGCACTGTTACCTTATGTGATGAAGGTGCACGTTAAGTGTGGAAAATCGAAAAAAACGGTTGTATGAAACTTTTTTTGATTGCCATCCAATCGGCGTCTAACTAATTTTCAAAGATTTTTGTTCAAATTCATTGAGGGATGTTTCACACTTTTTGAAAAATGAATTCCTCCTTGGTGAATATGGGGGTCAAAGATTTGGTGGGAGGCGCTTCGCCTTCAAATCCATTCCAATGGATCTACGTGTCTCACATTTTTGACAAAATCGAAGCTTTCACAGGTGGAAAGTGCAATTTAACAATTTTATTTTTTTGTGAAAATTTAAGTTTTGTCTGATTTGCTTTAAACTTATTTTCAAAGCTCTACATAGAAGCTTAAAGAATACCTGTTTTAGCTATTTGGGAACTTACACCCGCAACGGTGGTTAATAAGCGGAAAACGATTGTATGAAAGTTGTTTGTTTCCTGGGAAAATCTATTATAATTGATTGCCACGAGCAAGGCCGGGTTATACCCGCTAGTTATATTTATATATCTATATATATATATAAAGTCAGGGTTTCATGATTTTAATTAGCTTTTTGATTTAATCAAATAAGTTATAAATGCTTTTTTCGTCTACTTTGGAAAGTCAACCCTGAATAATAATGGTATACAATTTTTAATAAGGAGAAAAGTAAGGGCCACCTAGTTGAGAACCTTCGAGTAGGGCTATATTACTTTTTTTTATCTGGTAACTTACCACCTTGAATTTTAGACATAGCCGAATTTTTATCCTGTGTAATGGGTGGCGTGGGCTTGTGTGACTGACCAGTTGCTCTATACATTGCCATCACCCAGAGGCTACACTCATTTTCATCGTCACATGCAAATGCAATACTGTCTCCTTCGCGCACAGCATTGAAGAAAAACCGGCCACCATTCAAATCGATACCGAACATGAGATTGGCTATGAAATACAAAAAAGGCAAATTTTTGAAAACATTTATACATGTTTCAAAGTATGGGAAAACATCAGCATGATAATAATATTACGATTCTTTTACACATACCACTAGCAGCTTCAATGTAATCTACTGTATATCCATCAAGCTGCATCATCTCGGACGGCTCTGATTTTTTTTCCTTATAGCTACACATTGCAAATGTGTATTGAGAGACTTGAACTAAAACAAAGTAACGACGCTTCCATTTTTTCCATACAGATTTTCCAATTGCGAAAAGATGCCTACGGTTGTATTGCATACGGCAAGTTATTTATATGTAGTTATGTACCATATTAACATAGTCGTATTCCTCTACATACCCACAATGCTTCATATTTAACGGCTTGTCGAGTCTGCATGCTATTTTGATCCGTACATCCTGGTCCGGCAGATTTTTGGGAACGATCATACGGTGCCATTCAGGTGACTTTAGAGACACAAAATATTAATTGAAAACCAGTAACGTGTACTTTCTTAGGATATAGCTCACTTTAGAAGAAAGTGGTGTAGGCTTAATGGTCACTTTTCCTAACTCTTTGTCCTCCAGCGCCAACATTCCAGGGTTTTCTGTGTACAGCTTTACTTTTACAACAGGCAAAGGATGAGTAGTAGTAAAATCTCCCTGTGTATCCCACCTGTATACGAAAATAAAGGTAATCTAGTGAAATTGCCACCAATTGCACAAGGGATTTTTCTCACATAGGCTTTGAAGCCTCGGCTTGATCAGTTTGAAGCTTTTCCCCATTTTCAACTTCCATTGTACAGTACACAATCCGATTCGGGGCTAAAGATTTAAGGCCTTTTACTTCCATTACAATTACTTCCAATTGAAAAGTAAGTACAACATCCAATTTGGTTAACTGTGTAGTACCATCTTCTGAATCACCTTCTAGCTTGGAAAGGGATCCATGGGAACGCAGAATCATTTTTCTTATTACAAAATATAAATGACGAAAAAAATTAATTCCATACATGTTTGTCAACATATTGGTAGTCGAATATATACATATGAAATTTATTATTTTTAGCTTGTTAACTGCTCGCTCAATAGTCTCACGTTACTAACCACTCTAGTGTGAAGAACCCGCTTGAAATACATATAAATTCTCTTCCGATTTTATCCAATGAACCTCTAACAGAATTATTTAAGAAACTAGGGTTTGAAAAATGTTTTTTTTTTTTTTTTTTTTTTTTTTTTTTTGTTTTTGTTTGGCGTGAACTAGTAAAGCGCGGATCCGACGAAAACTTTGTGCCATAAATATTTAGACCCCATCTTTTCAGTCAGGGAGTGTAAATCCGATTGTTAATTAACCTGTTCGGTATCCACCGTACATCACATATAATAACCTATATAACAATTTCAGATTTCTAGCACCTTATATATGTTTTTATGTATGTCTAGAAAAATTTATAAAGATGCATAGATATGAAAAAACACTCACACAAATTGAAGATAACGGCAATGTTTTAACCCCAAACCACTGGCAACTTTTTTAAACTTAATTATTTTAAGCTGCAAAATAAATAGGACTTACAAAAAGGATGGTGTGCTGCAATAAGTTGATTAAAATGAGAGAGAGAGAGAGAGAGAGAGAGAAAAGACACACTGTTGAATTCGTATTTGTTTAAAGGTCAATATTGTGGTTATCTACCTATGGTTATAACGTTTCAATTTTTGTAGCCCATATTTACTGTCCATATTGCCTTTTGATACAGGAAGTGATTCCAGATTCGCCATCAGCAGATTGATAGAAGATTTTAATTCCTCGATGTAAAGGGATTCCATTTCTTTAAGCACGAACTTTGGCATAAGTTTTCGGTTTTTCTCCATTTCTCCCACACGCTGCATACGACCATCCAACTCACGTCTGATGGCCGCAGCTTGCTCATCAGCAGAATCGAGCTAGTAAAGTTGTACAGAAAAAATATAAATGTCTTTAATATATGCAAGCTTATGAATAAAAGTAATAAAATTCAAAAGTTGAATCCCTGAGCAATCCAATCATACTAAAAATATATACATAAAAAAAGAGTGTTCTAGTGTGCCCTAAACCTTATCTACCAACACAAAATGCATTAGCAATAAAAAAGTTAGTTCCCTGACTGTATGTACCACATTCATACCAAGAATTTACTTTCAATGAAAAACAAAACTACTGAATTAGTAGAAAATACACAGAGAACTGTATACGATACAATTGCAATTGCTATTTTATTTTTTTTTATCTCAATTTTTTAACACCGCTTCTAATGGTGACATCGTCAAGTTTCTTAGCCATCGTCACAAAATGTCAGAATGTCATCGGCGAACTCAATGATCGTATTGTCCTCCGGTAGGCAAAGGCCCAGTATTCGAACCAATTTCTTCGATCTCCTAAGTATTGCCCTTGATCTTGTTGGACAGTGTAATCCGTGGTTTGTCTGCATGTTGTACTGAACTGAGGCAGCCCAGCTTACGTAGCCTGGGGCTTTTTGCGAAGCGTGAACGTCTAGCGAATGGGTCAGCCTCACGTGCTTCTTCTTCATCTTGTTTAACTAATTGAGTGGAATATTGGTTGTTTTGGGTCGTAATTTTTAATTGGGTCTCAACTTGAAGCCACATTTGTCCAAATCTGTTGTGCAGTCATTTTTGGGATCCAGTCGTTGCATTTCCATAAAATAAGATCCACGCGTGGGTTGACTTCGAGGTTTATGGGACGCAGACGAAGTGCAGTCCCATATTAGTGCTGTTCAGGGAATGTCAACTGTAACTGCACAGAAAACTAAATTTCGACATACGACATGCGCTATCTGAAGCAAGCCAAGATTCCAACGGGACTGAACATTAGCCTAGGAGCTGTTCGGCAAGGTCAGCCTGCTTATTAAGGTCCCAGAATGCCTGGCTCGTGAGCTCATGGCTATAGGTGCGTAAGGGGTGCGTTCTATGTAATCAAGTTATTGCTCTTGCTGCTGATCTGAGGGCTTTAACGGTGGCCAATGGTTTCCTATTTGCCATTGACAAAATAAAACCAAAATCCTAAAAACATGGAATAGTTGTCTATAGTTATGGTCGGATCCATTTTTCCATTTAGTCTGCAGCTTCCATATGACAAAAAAACAGAAAATCCTAAAAGCATGCAATTATTTTCTTTGGCTTTCTGAGAACTCCAACAACGCAGCATACTTTTGTGAGGGCTTGCATTTTTATTGCAGTATTCACTTCGGTGCAATTTGGCAGATCTGCACAACTAACCAGCTGTGCAAAACCTCTGCATTGCTCATGTGCTTCAACATAAGCAATGTCAGATTCAAGCTGCGAAAAGAAGTTCTCAGTACAGCAAGCCAAGGATAAACGCATTTAAATTGTGGCTTAAATTGGTGGGTAGTTTCAATTGATTTATTTATTCAATTTAAAGCTATTGAACCAGGTTGGCGGTAGAAGCTACATATCAGTTTTGATGACTGGATCTTAAAACCAATCGGTTCCTGTCGATTGCTGAGAAACGGGGGAGTTATCGGTTACTGGAAATAAAGTCATACAGCGGCTAAAAATATTTAAACATAGGTTTTGGTTAGTTATGGTCGGCGTAAACTAATCAAATAACTTTTCGGAAGCGACTGCAGTGAAGAACAACCCAATTAAATTCCGATGTACGCACTATACGAACAAAAATGGCACATTTCATTTAACTCTCTTTTAGTTATCGAGAGGGCACAAGGGTTTCGGTTTCGTTTTTGTTTTATAATAAGTACTTAATGGGGTTGGAGATGTTGTACATATTACATACATAAGCCTAATGTTCCATAAAACGATAAGTTATGCTTACCATCAAGGCGTTGAAGAGGATTTGATGTTCGAACTTTTTCACTGATAAAATCTGTTGAAACATATCATATAGTTGCTCTTTGGAAAGAATCAGCTCACTATTCAAAGATTGTTGCATGCGTGAAGGGCGTTTTGTCTCTTCTTCGCCACTACCCTTGAGAATTATGTCGAATTTTGCCATCCAAGATGTCAACACAGTTTCCTTACTCAATCCGTCAATCTCTGGTAAGGATCTTTAAAAATAGTATTACATAAAATTAGAATTTCAATAAACTCTTTGGTGTGTTGTGCTAAGTACTTACCTTACACGTTTTTCAATATTATTGCGAAAAACTTCGCGAAAATCATGTTGCGAACATGCTCCAGATTGAACCATTTTCATAACACGTTCCGATTTTAGAAATACGTCATGGTAGCTTTGCACGGCATTTTGAAAGGCTTCATCAGCCATTATTTGCGTTTCACCCTTCAAGAACGCCTTGACAACAGAAGTAAGTTATATTTTAAATTATTCCATTTCAACTTAATTACTTTTCAAGCGGATATGCGTAAGATAAACGAGAATAAAGATTTTATATTTCTAATCCCTTAACTCTTAGTTTTCGAAATAGACGAATTCACGGATACGTTCATGGGTAGATTGACTCAGCTCGTCATCTGCTCAAGATAAAAAAAAATAGAATGCAGACTCTCCCATCAGCCACGCACATTTTTTGTGGGCCTAGTCGGCCAGTTCGACTAGAGCAATATTTTTATACCCTGAACCCATTAAAAATGGGTATAAGGGTATATTGTATTTGTGCGAAAGCCAAATGTATGTAACAGGCAGAAGGAAGCATCTCCGACCCCATAAAGTATATATATTCTTGATCAGCATAAATAGCCGAGTCGATCTAGCCATGTCCGACCGTCCGTATGTATGAACGCAAGGATCTCAGAACCTATAAGAGCTAGAGACTTGAAATTTTAGATGTAGGTGCTCCTAGCTCCCGCGCAGATTAACTTACTCCGTTTCCAAGCAATCGATAAAAATCGATATCGATATCCTGTTTTTTGGGCAATTTTGGTAAATAATAAGAGCTAGAGTCACCAAACTTGACATATAGCTTCTAAAATAAAATATATATATGCGTTTGATATTGGAAGAAGAGGGTTCAGGGTATCCCCTAGTCGGGAGCTCCCGACTAGAACCTCTTACTTGTTTTTTTTTAATTTTATCAAGTTTCAATTTTAAAAAGCAGTCTTGACAGTTTATACGGATCTAACATATTTCAGCGGACAACATATTTCGGAGACGGCAAAGTTGATCTCACTTTATCACCATGTAAGCTAATCAACATTGAGTTGTGAATTAGCCCGCTTTAGTGTGCTTCTGGCCATTTAGCTACTCTATCATCCAACAGAAAAGGGCAGCAAAAAATTTATTTAATTGCTATGATTTTTAATATGCAGCACCTGAAGCTGCGATTACATCTTTTAGCTATTAGATTATTAGAGTTAGTGTTTACCTGAAATCGTTGTGTGAGTATCTCTAGCTGCTGTTTTGTTATTTTCGGTTGCCTTTTAGTCATATCCGTAGGTTGTTTTGCATTGAATGGATATGATATGCAACGCGATATAAACACATACAACTGAATACGGCGCTTGCGTTCCTCCTCCTCACGCTCATGTTTCTCCTGTTACAAAAATATAGGTGTTCGAAGGGTTCAGTTCTTTTGAAAATAACATTTTTTACACTTCTAATCAGAAATATACTCTAACTTAACTCTACCGGATGGTTGGGACATTAACACATTTCATTCGGAAAAAGCGATACTTAGTAAACCTCTCACATAAGCTTTAACCAATTAATTATGAAAGATATGTTCGAAAGACATTACGAAAGCAAATGTAAAGCCTGTCTGACGTAATGATATATTATAATAAATAAAATATAATATAATAAATATTGATTTTATCATCGTACTTACATGTGGATCGCCTCCATCATGCTTATCGCTTGCAGTAGATGGTGATGGCGAAAGAGGGCGTGGCAGCGAGTTAGCTCGCGATGATCCGACACTTTGGTTCAGAGTTTCTTGCGAAATACCACTAGACGATGATAGCAACGTTTGATTATTATTTTTTTGGGTTACCTTCTGAAAGGGGCCCTTTAACTGCGAGCGCCCACTGCTGCTGTTGGTGCTCAAAAGGTGCGAAGGAGCTTTAATTCTTGGTACATTGAAGGCACTTGCACCACTAGCTACACCGCCAGCAGCAGCCTTTTGACCGTGGAAATTTGGGTGCGGGGATGATATTTCAGTTTGATAGTTGTAATGGTGATGTTGATATTTATAATGGTGTTGACTTTGCTGATGACTTGACTTTGTTGCCGGGCACAATTGCTGAATTATAATTTTACTACCGCCGTGCCCTTTATGTGTTGGCCTCGCTCTATGCGCCAAAATTAAACCGAACAACCACCGACCATGTGATTTGTATTCGTGTTCAGATGTTAAAATATGTATTGGCAATGGTGATGAAATCGATGGTCGATATGGATGTTTTGGTTCAGATTATATAGATAGTAGTCGGGAATGGCCAATTCAAGTTCAAATGCAAACCATCCACTCAACAATCGATGGAATTTATATTAAATGCGTCACATGAATTTTTATGTATTCCAATATATATTCACATACATATATACACATATATATATATATATATATATATATATATATATATATATATATATATATATATATACAAAATTTATATTTTTAAAAAAAATTTTGGTTTCGAGATACATGTGTGAGTTATAGATGTAATCGATTTCGGAATTGTTGTATTTTATTATTTTTTTTCAGATAAATGATGTGCCAATTAGTTTGATTGTATTTATTTTTGTTGATATGTACATACATGTGCATGTGTTTAAGATTTGGACGAGGGTAGAGCCGAAAAAAAATATTAAAAGGAGTTAATTTTTGCAAATAAAATAATTTTGTTGTGGAACATAAATGTAAGGTAAAAATTGTCTCTAATTTCTTTTTATCTTAATAAAATGAGTTAAGCTCAAGTAAGAGTGTTCTAGGCGTGTGTGTTTGATTATAAAATAGCCCTGACTAGATCTGTCGTAACATGTGTTCGAACTTGAACTGGCAAACTATCTGGCTTGACAAAAATGCAAAGCTCCTCAAATAAATTTCAAGCCTCTCTTTAACCCTGGCAGAGGGTATTATTATTTATTCCATCAACTGTGTTATGCCTCGATGGAATATACATAAGTGGTTGACACAATTTCTGTTGCAAGTGAACCCCTTGAGAGAAATTTTCTTCAATGGCGCTGACTTCGGTTTTTTCGTAGACCTCTTTGTGTCCGCAACATCTAAAGGCACACAATATTTCACAATATAATTTTATGTTTAACGTGAGTTAGTGATTTTGAAAATTCCAATCGCAACAGTGGTAAATTGGCGGAAAAGGTGGTAAAATGTTTTTTTAACCATCCGTTTTTTACGTTGAGGAAAATATACATACCCGTAAGGCGAAGTTTCAGGTTCCGTCCAATCAACCTTAAGCTTATTTTTAAGCCCTACATAGAACTTATTTAAACAGCTTCACCAGACTTTGGTCATTTTGTAATCGTTAAACAAGCCATTTCTTCCTCATTTCAAGCGGACTGATGCACATAGTCATCACGGCCTGATATTTTACACTAGGTGTGCAAGTTATCACACAGGAACACTAATCCTCACAGCGAGCACATGGCATCTATCATCCAAACAGGTACTAATAGACCTAAAACTAAACAAGTAAGAGGTTCTAGTCGGGAGCTCCCGACTAGGGGATACCCTGAACCCTCTTCTTCCAACATGCATATATATATTCTATTTTAGAAGCTATATGTCAAGTTTGGTGATTAAGCTCTTATTTTTTACCAAAATTGCCAAAAAAAAAACAGGATATCGATATCGATTTTTACCGATTGCTTGGAAACGGAGTAAGCTATCGATTATCGGAAACAAACTCGATCTGCGCGGAAACTAGGAGCACCTAGATCTAAAATTTCAATTCTCTAGCTCTTATAGGCTCTGAGATCCTTGCGTTCATACATACGGACGGACGGACAGACAGACGGACATGGCTAGATCGACTCGGCTATTGATGCTGATCAAGAATATATATACTTTATGGGGTCGGTGATGCTTCCTTCTGCCTTTTACATACATTTGGCTTTCGCACAAATACAATATACCCTTATACCCATTTTTAATGGGTTCAGGGTATAAAAAGGCCATTTGTAGGACGCCAATTGGGCAAGCAACGGGGCGACCAGAAATCGTATACTGTGTACGCATTTACTTCTGGATATCATGTAGTTGTGCAAATGTATGTAACAGGCAGAACGTAGCATCTACGACACAATAAAGTATATATTCTTGATCAGCATCAATAGCCGATTTGATCTGCCCATGTCCGTACGTATGTATGAACGCGAGGATCTCAGAACATGCGCATCTTTATTATACCCTGAATCCATTGAAAATGGGTAAGAAGAGTATAATGTTTTTGTGCAAATGTAAATGGTTGTAACAGGCAGAAGGAAGTATTTCCGACCCCATAAGGTATATATAATCTTGATCAGCATCAATAGCTAAGTCGATCTAGCCATGTCCGTGTGTCTGTCTGTCCGTCCGTCCGTCTGTCCGTATGTATGAACGCAAGGATATCAGAGCCTGTATGAGCTAGACACTTGAAATTTTAACTGTAGATCCTTCTAGTGCCTGCGCAGATCGAGTTTGTTTCCGATAATCGATGAGTTACTCCGTTTCAAGGCAATCGATAAAAATCGATATCGACATCCTGTTTTTTAGCAAATTGGGTAAATATGAAGAGTCACCAAACTTGATATGTTTATTCTAGAAGAGTATATATTATCTTAATATCAATTGTCTTTCACAGGCACGTAGCGCCAGCTGAATTTGGTGTTGGAATATGAGGGTATCCCCTAGTCGGGAGCTCCCGACTAAAACCTCTTACATGTTTTCTTTGGGATTACTTACACCCGATTCATAGCCATGACAACGCCTCATTTATCATCCGAGGGGGGTGGGTTTTCCGAAATGTTTGAAACATGTCATAAATAAATTTCCACAAAGATCTCTGAATATATTTTTGAAACCGATCGTATAATAAACAAAAAAACTTTTATAAAACCGCATTTCCCCTAGAGCCAATACCATAGTTACGAAAGGAATTTTTAAAATCAAAGAGTGTAAAACACGTTTCAAATGAAATTTCATAAAGATTCTTAAAAATGAATTCGATCTCGAAACTTAACAGAGCAATTATTGATCCTAAGGGGATTTTCCAAAAGTGGATTTACCCATTAATGGATTTGAACAAAAATCTTGAAAAATAGTTTGAGACCGATCGGATGGTAAAAAAAAAAGTTGCACAAAAACGTTTTTTGGCGATTGGGCGCGAATTTTCCCAACACCTAGTCTTAGCGTGCACCTTCATCATACAAAGTAACTACAGTTAAAATTGCATTTTCTACATCCTACAGTTTTGGCTGTGCATTGAACACCATCATTATATATGGAAATTTGTATACCCTTGCAGAGGGTATTATAATTTTGTCGTGAAATGTGCAACGCATAGAAGGAGACATCTCCGACCCCATAAAGTAGCCGAGTCGATATAGCCATTTCCGTCTGTCTGTTTCTATGCGAACGAGTCTCTCAGTTTTAAGCTATCTTAATGAAACTTTGCAACAGTCCCTTATTCTGTTGCAGGTAGCATATATGTCAAATCCAGCTGGATCGGACCACTATATCATATAGCTGCCATAGGTGCGATCGGTCGAAAATTAAGTTGTATGAAAAAATATTCTGTTTATCAAGATATCTTGAGCAACCTCGGCATTTATTAGTTTTACTAATCTCCTCATATATACGCAAAATCCTATTAAGATCGGACCACTAAATCATATAGCTGCCATAAGAACGATCGGTCGAAAATTAAGTTGTTGTATGAAAAAACATTTTGTTTTTCAAGATATCTTGACCAAACTTGGCATTTATTAGTTTTACTATACTCCTCATATATATGCAAAATCCTATTAAGATCGGACCACTATATCATATAGTTGCCATAGGAACGATCGGTCGAAAATTCAGTTGTTGTATGTCATTCTAGATATTTTAATTAAGCACGGCATTTAATGATTTAATTATGCTCTCTTCATTTTTGCAAAATCTTATTTACATCGGACTACTATATCATATATCTGCCATGATAAAAAACCTTTTTTGTTTATCAAGATATCTTGACCAAGCTCGGCATAAACTATTTTCCCTGTGCTTCTTAGATACGGGCAAAGTACTATAAGCATTATGAAGAGGTTGGGTCTGCAGGGGTTTTAGATTTTCGGCGTGCCGAATATATCCTTTCTTTCCTGTTTTGTTTCGAATATCTTTGGATTGTGTGTGTTTTTTTTTTCAGGATGTTACTGCAGTGCGGAGGCGTGTAAAGCATGTCTTCTAGCAGGGCTCGACTGGACCACTCTTACTTGTTTATATATACTTGTATGCATGTGAATGAATAAATCAGTTCACCATAAAATTGCAAGCCAAAAATACATTTACCGAGAACAGTGCACTAAGCTTTCTATAGGCATGGCTTTCATTATTGTACACAAGTTTGTTTTGAGTTTTCATACTAACCTTGGAATTCCATTGTTGGGAACTTCAAGGCTGCCTCCCTCAGTGCCAAATTGGGGTTGATCCTTTTTTGTTGATCCTACTCCTCCATCGCTGCCATCAAATCGACTGTTTCCACCAGAAGTATTTGATGGTCTTTGGTTTGATTGAAAATCGCCATTATGGGTATTAGGACCAGATGTAGTAATAGGTATGGTTGCAACGGCTGTTGATGTTGATGGTGCGGCTACAGGTGCGACCGTTTTCTGTGGTGCTCCAATACGTCCTTTATTAGGCAAATTTGCGACGGTTTCTTCGTCTCCCTCTTCTTCACTAGAGCTTGGGTCTATCATGGCCAGGTAAAAAGTTGATCACTTAATTGTTTTGACGGGCCCTAAAAAATATTCACGGTGAATCTTTTTGCTAAAATATTCACACTTTTATCAATCTCCCATCGTAGGATTTTAGAAGATATATTTAGTAGTTATATATTACACATTTTCTGTGAAGCATTTGCATTTTTAATTGTAACTATCAAAACTATTTACAAATTTAGTTTTTTGCCAAAGAAACATTAAGGAGGTTTAAAGGACTTATTAATCTGCGAATAATATATAGATATGATAAAATCGATCCAGCAGTTGGCACTGATCAGAATTTATACATACCGTCTTAAAAATCGGTTCTCTAAAAATATAGTCTTTTGCAAAATAATTATGGTTTTTTCAACTACCATCTTCGATACATATACGCATAAATACAAATATATATATAACATACATAACATACACATATACATAACACACACATATACATATACATATTCATACATATACATATACAATGTGCATATACATATACATATACATAAATATATACTGTACAAGAAGTGGCTGTCATGTCGGTATGCCACAACATGATTACAATGTATGCTGGGTGTAGGGGACTAAAAGAACGCACTGCATAGCCAAAACCCGAGAAACCCCAACCCACCTTGAGCCAGTTTCAGCCATGTGTTACTAATAAGGGTGGAAAACGAAATAACTCGGGGACAAAATGCTTCAGTGCGAACGAACTTACTTACTGACTTCCCTATTGTCAATAATGTAAATATACTAAAGACCTCATAATATTTTTAACTTAAATTTGTTATCTACGGCATTCAGGCATCACACACACACACAACCTAGTGGGTGGTAGGAGAGCAAACACCATATACACACATATATATACATATATATACGAATTTGTGCCACTTTTGCTAATACCAAAAAACATTGTCATTTGTTTTCACTGATTCAATTTGTTAAATCACTACACTTACACTTTAAGAAAGATTTGTTTAGAATAACGCATATTTTTTAAACTAGTTTATTTTTCATTATTGATATTTAAATTTCACAGTACCAACTAAACAGATTCGTATGAATATTTCCGCATAGGTTTGGGGTGGTTTTTCGTTGTCATCAACAGTAACGTAAAAACCATTGGAACATGGTTGCCCTAGTCCTATTCACTTGAAACCTTAGTATCATTTTTATTTTACTACTTAACTATGATTTTGGCAAAAGATTAAACAATTTGTACAAATACTGGTTAAAATATTTGTACATATTTTCGATAGTTCGTGGTGGTTTGCCGATGCATGTATGTTAATTAGGTATGTAGGTATGATAGTTATTGAAGGAGTCAGAATGGTTTCTATTCCACTAAGTTTTTCACAAGTATTTCATTCCCGGCGTAGAGCTTAATCTTATTGTATATTTTGTCAGGAATACGAAATTGATAGTTCCGATAACCCGGTGGAAGTACAATTGCTGAATATTGTGCAGCAAAAATATGTCTTGACGATGAATATCCTAGAGCTTCGAACTATCGTCAACGCTTTTAAATAATAGACATTCTCCAGTGGCTTAAAAAAAGTAATATTTTCAAATTTCACATAATGGCGTTCCACCGGTTTTCGGTAACATGTAAGTGGAAAAGTACCGCTTCTTCAAATAAATAAATAATAAACTAATCTGATGGAGATGCTTTTATTTACATAAACGCCGCAAAGTTTTTCTTCCGCGATGCGATGCCGCAGTATGGGCTCCATTTTACATACTCTTTTCGTCATTTCGCCATGTTTAAATGCTACAAACTGTGGTATTAGTACAATTTTAAATGTCTAATTTAAAGTAGCCGCTTGTCTTCGTTGATATATCGATAATGCTTCGTTTTTATTACTCTACAAAAGTCAACTCCAAATAAGTCGGGTGTGGTGTCTATACCACTTAATTTTTTCTCAAGATTCCATTTCCGGCTGCGAAACTTAACTTTACAGTGTATTTTATTAATTAAAAGCAATTAAAAGTTGCCGATAACCCAGTAGCAGCAAGATTGGCGAGTGTCGTGCAGCAACTATACTACTTTACGATCAATTTCCGATAGTTTTTAGCAATCATCAACGCTTCGAGATGAGCGAATAACAGCTGCTAACTATCGATGATGAATCATTATAAATATCGAATCTTCGATTTTGCGGAAGCTATTGTTTATTTAAAGTGTATGAAACTAAAATACCAAAACTTCTATTTCCATTTGTAATAATTTTTTTTTTTAATAATTAAACTAAAAGTAATTGTAAATTAAATTAAATATTTTGTAATTGATGTAAGATATTAAATGTTTATGTATCATAAACTTAAAAAATAATATAATATATATAAAAACTAATATTTTAATTATAATTATGTTTTACATAAGTAATGTAATTTGAACTCTAATTTAAAACAGGTAAGAGGTTCTAGTCGGGAGCTTCCGACTAGGGGATACACTGAACCCTCTTCCAACATCAAAGGCATATATATATTTTATTTTAGAAGCTATATGTGAAGTTTTGTGACTCAAGCTTTTAATTTTTACCAAAATTGCCCAAAAAACAGGATATCGATATCGATTTTTATCGATTGCTTGGAAACGGAGTAAGATATAGATTATCGGAAACAAACTCGATCTGCGCGTGGCACTATATTTAAAATTTCAAGTCTCTAGCTCCTATATGTTCTGAGATCCTTGCGTTCATACATACGGATAGACGGATATGGCTAGGTCGACTCGGCTATTGGTGCTGATCAAGAATATATATACTTAATGGGGTCGGAGATGCTTCCTTCTGCCTGTTACATACATTTGGATTTTGCACAAATACAATATATCCTTATACCCATTTTTAATGGGTTCAGGGTATTAAAAATGTATGAATAGACCAGCGTTTATAAATCGGTTTTAACCAGGCAAAGTTATTTTAACTAATAAAATTTTACATACTCAATTTCCCCTTATTCAAAAGGTAACCATATCATTATTAATAGGTTTTCTCGTTTGCATGTCCAAGTCAACAAGTTTTCCTGTTTCTTATGCGACACACAATGCAATCGTATTTCATGGGTGTCAACAATACATTAACAACACAACTGCAATAAATAATGAAATTGTACTTTGGAGGTAAATATATAGTTGCACAAAACTTACAAGTGCGGTTTTCCCCTTTTGTATAAGCCGTTGAGGAATTTAGAATTGTCCGAATAGGTTATCGTTTTAAGGCACATATCCTTTCGTAAGTACGCTTCTTGTTATCTCTGCTGTGGATTAGTTTCTAATTAAGTAAAAGAAAAAGGGACTTTGGAGTAGCTACCAATGATGCTTGCTCGTAGTTGAGCGATCGGTGAAGGAAGCGGGGCACAAGGTCGATTGATCTGTTTATTCATGTGCCGCTGGATATAAACAAAGCCATGCCCACAATATCTGCAGAGTGTACAGGAGATTATTCGTGAGGTTAATAATCTATTCATAACTTACTCGCACTCATTCGTCTGGACGCCAATGTGGAATTTATGTTGCTGGACGCTCAGACGCATCCATTAAATGTTTCCACAAATAACTAAAACATTTATTATGTTCGTCGTCACCTTAGGTCGCTGTTGGACTTTACGTGGCTGTTTTTGTAAAGAAGCTGATTGATACTTACTTACGGGTATCCCAGCACAGAAGTGTATCATCTGATCGTGGCGGGTGCTTACATTTTATTCAAGACGTTTGCTCATATATATTCGCCCTCGTTGTAATTGCTTGGGCATTTCCTATAAAAGATGCTTAATTTTTATTTTAGTAAAATTATACAATAGCTTCCGCCAAATCGAAGATTCGTTATTTATAATTATTCTTCATCGATAGTTATTCGCTGATCTCAAAGCGTTGACGATAGTTAAAAACTATCGGAAATTCATCGTAAAGTAGTATAGTTGCTGCACGACACTCGCCAATCTTGCTGCTACTGGATTATCGGTAACTTTTAATTGCTTTTAATTAATAAAATACACTGTAAGGTTAAGGTTCGCAGCCGGTAATGGAATCTTGAGAAAAAATTAAGTGGTATAGACACCACACCCGACTTATTTGGAGTTGACTTTTGTACAGTAATAAAAACGGAGCATTACCGCCAATAACGTGGTATACAAAAAATACTGTTTTCATTTGCAATGTTATGTTTTCAATATTTAAAAATAGAAATTATATTTAAATGTACTTATAAAAAACATTCCAAAAATAATAATATAGGTAAAAATTAAAATGAGATTTACACTTCAGTTATACAATATTAACGGAAGCTATCAAATGTAGGTATGGTATATATGTATACATTTAAATTTTAAAAATGTATAATTTGACCCTGGCCAGTTTAATATTTCAATAATAATTACACAAATTTTTTTTGTCAATTGTACATATTAAAGCAGATTGTTTTCCCACTTGAAGCTTTTTTTTGTAAGAAGATGTCGATGTCACCCAGCCAACTATATAATTATATCACGGAGAGGTCGAAGAAACCATCATTAAATATTAAAGTTTTTCTCCATACTGACGAGTGACAACAAAACCACCATGACATTTTTATCACACCAAAATACTTAACTTACTAATAAATCTATTACAAAAACAAACAAAACATATGGAAACAGAAAAAACACACATAAGGCAACTGATGACCACAAATAACGCCAAAACGTTTTTTGAAAACGAGAGAAACATAGAGAAAAAAATAACAACAACGCTCAAGAAAAAAACAGGAATGAAACACGACAAGCTACCCGATCAACGGAGCCTTGCACTAGCGGACAACAACACAAAAAAAAGAGTGGTTCGCTCTCCCGATTAATAAAAGAGATTTCTCTCTCTTAAAATAATATCCGAAACACTAGGGATCGAGCAATATTGGATACAGTGGAACAGACATGTAAATTCTTAAATGAACATAAAAATATAAAAATCTTATCATCAGGCAAATGTAACAAAACCGTAGCAATGAATGTGGACAATTAAAATAAATAAAAATAAAGCAAGTAAGAGGTTCTAGTCGGGAACTCCCGACTAGGGGATACCCTGAACACTCTTATTCCAACACCAAATTCAGCTCGCGCTACGTGCTCTTTTGCATTAGTCGTTACAAAGATAAATTTAAAAAAAAAACAAGTAAGAAGTTCTTGTCGGGAGCTCCCGACTAGGGGATACCCTGAACCAAAGACAATATAAACACTAAGATGAGTAACGCCATACAACAAAATGCTACTATGCAGCTTAATTTTTTGAAAATTGAGAACGAAAACGAAATCTGTAGCATTGCGCTCTCACAGCCGAGAGAACGAAAAAGCTAAAAATAGAATGTGCTCTCAGCTTCGGCTCAATGAGGGCCGTGCAAGCAATTATGTTTGTATGCGTGTGAATATACATACATAGAAGCATATTTGAATGTGTTGCTTTCCACTGCTCTGGCAGTCTCTGGCTGGCAAAGAAACAATTTTCGTAGTTTTTAAGCACAGATCACGGCCTACCCAAAATATCTGTTGATATATGAATGCATTTTGTGTACTGAGGTTGGCTCCGTACAAAATATGTATTTTTAAGTCGATGCAAATACTTATGTAATTTTTTATATTTGAAATTATTAATTAAATTATTATTATTTTTAAAAAATACAAAAAAAATTAAGCAAATAAAAGTGCAGATTTGTTGTTTTCAAAGATACATTTAAGTAATTTTTATTTTTTTATTTTATTATTATTTGTTCGAATTATAAAGAACAAAGTCGCCGCTCGAATTAGCTACCGATGCAAAATCAGTACCCAGGGAACACCGCGAGGAGGCCATTATAATTATAATGGGGTCATAACTAAATATGACCTTCGAGTCGACTTGAAATGTAATTGTATATTTTAGCCCTCTTTTATTTCTTAATTGGAGAATAAAAATAATATTAATTTAATTTAAAGAAATTATGTAAATATTTGCATCGACTTAGAAATACATATTTTCTGCGGAGCCAACCTCAGTACACAAAATGCATTCATATATCAACACAAATTTGGGATAGGTCATGATCTGCGCTAGAAAACTAACAAAATTAATTTCTTGCCAGCTAAAGCCAGAGCAGTGAATAACAACACATACATACATACTTTATAGTTCTTATGCATTTATAATTCACGCATACAACGAAAGGTGCACGCACGCTATTGGCTGAGACAAGAACTTTTCTCGAGCATACACTGCCCAAAAAGAAGACTGAAATCAATCTATTTGTACTATTTTCTTAACATAGTTATTGCGCAAGAAGCGCCTTGTGTAAAAATTATAAAAGTTCTTCAATTTTCCTGTAAAATTATTTGTTAATATCTAGGGTAATATATCATTTAAATAAAGCATGCATTTCATGGATAAAGCACAAGCACTTTGCGTCGATCGTAAGCCCTAAACTTTTTCGCTCAATGTACTTCGAAAACGAAGCGACGCAAAGCAGCATCGACCAGCTTTGCTGAAGGCAGGCTGGCGACTAACTTCGTAGCTCGTGTCAGCATCAGCAAGCCGCGACTTCGGCATTCGTTCGTCTGGTCTTTGGAGAACGAACAACCAGTCGGCAGGCATGCCGTACGAAGCCTCAAAGGCCAGATGAAAGGCCAGGCTAGAAATTTTGCGTCGCATTCAAATGTATGCGCGTTACTCAACTTAGTGTTTATATTGTCTTTGCCTGAACCCTCTTCTTCCAACATCAAATGCATATATGTATATATTCTATTTTAGAAGCTATATGTCAAGTTTTTGACTCTAGCTCTTATTATTTACCCAATTTGCTCAAAAAAACAGGATTTCGATATCGATTTTTATCGATTGCTTGGAAACTGAGTAAGTTATCGATTAACGGAAACAAACTCGATCTGCGCATGGACCAGGAGTTCATACATACGGACAGACAGACGGACATGGCTAGATCGACTCGGCTGTTGATGCTGATCAAGAATATATATACTTTATGGGGTCGGAGATGCTTCCTTCTGCCTGATGCATACATTTGCACAAATACATATTACCCTTTTGAGCTATTTTCAATGGGTTCAAGCACTAACCATACAATGTATAGACATACCAAATGGCCCTTTTTATCGAAACAAAAAAATCGAAACGAGGCGACCCTAAGGGTACTTGCGACCATTTTAGTGTGCCCAGACAGAGTAAGACTGCTGAGAGTGGCAGCCGAACGCCGGCCTCAAAAGGCGAACGTTCAGTATGAAGCCGCATCTCCCTCAGCGCACAACGACGCGGCTGATGATGCGTTTTCTTAATATATGTATGTATGCCATTTTTAAATACTTACAGCCCAAAAACATATGTGTGCATGTATGTGCCTCGCTCTCACTCATTGCTTCGCGCACTTGCGTCTATCTCTTTCTTCCTGCATAGCTTGCCACAAAACCCCGAGATCTACAAACATTCATACGTTTGTGTTGTGTGGATGTGCGCACAAGTAGATCAATTTTTGGTCTTTTCTGAAAATTCTTACAAGCCGACGATGAATTACCCTTGCAGAAATACGACTTAGATATTTTTGTATTTTAAGCAAAGGTCCCTACAGTAAACAGAAAATAAATATAAATATTTCATTTAGGTCAATTAATTGTGTATTAAATAAAATTTGATCAAATTGTTCTCATCATGCCTGACTGGACGAAGAAATACATGATAGAGCATTTAAATGTGAGTGCCTATTGCCACCACAGGCACAAAAGGCACACAATTGAAAAACCTCTGGTTCGCGACAAACTCCGCGATCTACTTGTGCGCACATCCACACAACACAAACATAGGAATGTTTGTAGATCTCGGGGAGGGAGAAAGAGATGGACGCAAGTGCGCAAAGCAATGAGCGAGGCAAGTTATCACCCAGCCCGCAAGGCAATTCTTATTGCAATCATAAACAACATTTCAATATAAGTCGCTATCCCAATTACTTAGCCCTTTCAGACTTATTAGAATCGTATCAATCACTACGCTGCAGATTTGCTAACATAAATATACAGATCCCCGGCTCTAACATAAACATAACAGCGCAACCACTTAACATAAAGATTCATATTCTAATGCGCAATTCATAACGTAAACTAAAGACCCAGTCTCTAGAACGCTATTGCTAACATAAACATAGCTGATTCGCAGCATAAGATCACCGCGAGCTTTTAAGCTTTAAGAGAATAAGCTTTATCATAACCATAGCTGACTTGCAGCATAAGTTCACAATTGTACTTTAGTTCTAATCTTGGATTCAAATAAATCGGAAGCCTTCAGCCTCCCACTTAAAAATATATTTTTTTCCAATTACATGTACATGCAAATTAACCAATTAGTGACTACTAATTGGAAAAAAATATATTTTTAAGTGGGTATATTTTAGGTTAGCATTTGATATTGTCTTTGTGAATAATACGATCCCTATTGTTTATTTTGACTTTATTTCCTAAGTCTTCTTTAACTACCTGTTTTTTGAATCTAGGTTGTAGTTTGTTTCGTTCGCCATGTTTTTTTTTCATAAATTATTTCACCTACTTGGTAATTTTTTGGTGACCTCTTTTTGTTATGGTACTCTAACATTTTGGCTTGGGCTGATTTTAATTTTTCTGACAATTTTGAGTGTTCTATTTTGTTAAATAATATGTCACATGGTTTTTGTTGAGTTGTCGATTGAATTGTGTTGTTATACTCTTTAACTGCTCGGTATACGACTTCGGAATGATCCATTATATTGTATTCTTCTTGAATGCAACGAGAAATTTCGATAATTGTTGAATGAACTCTTTCTAC